CTCTGCAGCCCCTGTCATTGTACTTTAAGGCTTCATTCCACTTTGGATTTCAGTTTCCTGCTATTGTGTACCTTAAGAGGCAGCAGGTTGTAGCCTATGTACTTGGATCCTTGCCACACACTTGAAACACATGGTTAGTGCTCCTGGCTCCCAACTTAAGCCTGGCCCAGTTTTAGCTTTTGCAGGCATCTGGAGAATTAATTGACTGATGGAGGATCCTTTCTGTGTATGTCTCTGTCTTTAAAATAACTAAAAACCTTTTTAAAACTTCATAAAAACTTAATGTTAAGAACACTTCTTAACATTCAAATTTCAAGTTATCTTGTGGGTCATGGGAATAAGAGTGACCAAAGGAAATGGGGGAACAGTGCTCTTGTGTGCGACTGACAGTTTATTTCAAAGGTTCCAGTTTTTATGTACTTGCAAAACAATAGTTCAAACACAACTCAGACTTAGGTCATGTCTGTAAGCAAGGAGTTCAAGGAAAGTTAACAAGGCACCTTGGTCAAAGCACTATTGAAACTGGGCATAGATAAGGAGTATTATCTGTCCTTGGTTACCTGATGAGACAGGGCACAGATGTCGGCCCTTTATCAAGGAAAGTCCAAAAACACTTCTGGGGGCAGCGTGCCCACTGGGCAAGGGACCCTTTGCCTCCTCTTCATGGAGCCTCTTCTCAACTGGTTCCCAGCCTTGCATCTGTCACCCCAGTTTATCTTCTTGGATGAGTTTCAACACAAATATTCCTCCATGCAACTTAAACTAACTGCATCTATTCATCATATTTTCTGCTGTTTTGGTCATGCTCACTCATTGTCCTATAATTTCCTTCCCCTGTTTGCCCAGGAAAACCAACTTCTCTTTTAAGACTCAACTGCAATCCCACCTAGTCTGGAAATGGTTGCATGTTTCTATCTTATAGCATATTATGTCTTTTAAAAGTTGTATATTCCCTACTTATGTTGCTAATTTTTATTACTTGTGAAAAAGACTAAGGATCATCAGACTTTCAAACCATGGTGAGTTTGAAACACAACTACCATCAAAATGGGTCTAGATTACATTTTTGGAAAGCAGACACCTAAGCCCAAGGTTAACAACTGTAGTTAGAGTTGCATCACAAGCCAAGAGTGTCAATACCAGACTGAGACTCAGTGAGCCACAATTCGCAGGAAAGATGTGCCAACTGTAAAAGCCAGCAATTATAAACTTATTAGAAGCTAAACTTTTTCAGTCATGTATTCCTACATCTGTGGAAATAGTTGTCATTACAGCTGCTCTTTCTTCCTTTCTACGTACAAGGGGATGAAACAATTTTCTATTTCTTTGTTTATACCTCTGGTACCCATTCCTTCTGCTTCACCTTGTTAAACACAATTAGAAAACTGAATTTCTTTTGTGGAGAATGATGTTTTTTTCACCTGGTCAATGTATAGCTTTCCATCACATTCCCATTCATGTTTTATAATAAGATTGTGTATGAAAAAATAGAATATATAGACAGAGGTTATACTATAATATTGCTGTGGTAAAATGTCCACATTTTCCCCCTAGTTTGTAATAATTCCATATCAATGTAATTTTTCATTTCTCTCCAAAGCATTGACAGGGTTGCTATTTAATGTGTTCTCTCAGCATTTCAGTTAATGTAATATATAGAAAGAAAATGCCACATAAAACTACATGAATCTGATTTTCCTGGATAACTAAGGGAAAAACATCAAGAGATGTAACTTGGACCCATTTTGCATTATGTCTCAGTGGATTAAGCTGCCATATATAATGCTTGCATCCCACATCAGAGCACTGGTTCCGATCCTGGCTCCTCCGCTTCCAGTCCAACTCACTGTTCACACACCTGAGAAGTCAGCAGACATGTCTCTGCTACCCACGGGAGAAACCAAATGGGGTTCCTGACTCATAGCTGTGGCCTGGCAAAGCCTTGGCTATTGCTCCCATCTGGGATGTAGATCTCTCCCTCTTCACTGCTCTGCCTTTCAAATAGATAAATCTGACAATACGACGTAAGTAGATCTAAAATATTATTTACTTACAATGTTCCCATAAAATCTAATTTGGGAATATGTTAGCTGTCACCCATAGCTTTTATTGCATATGGCACTGTTCATTATTAGTGACATTTTTAAAAGATTTATTTATTTTTATTGCAAAGTCAGAGATATACAGAGAGGAGGAGAGACAGAGAGGAAGATCTTCCATCCAATGATTCAGTCCCCAAGTGACTGCAAAGCCGGTGCTATGTTGATCCTAAGCCAGGAGTCAGGAGCCTCTTCCTGGTCTTCCACATGGGTGCAGGTTCTTAAGGCTTTGGGCCATCCTCAACTGCTTTCCCAGGCCACAAGCAGGGAGCTGGATGGGAAGTACAGCTGCCAGGATTAGAACTGGCATCCATATGGTATCCTGGCATGTTCAAAGTGAGGACTTTAGACGCTAGGCCACCGTGCCGGGCTCTATTCTTGACATTATTAATCTAGTTCATCCATTTGGGGTTAGATATGAAATAATCCTGCATTTGTTTGTTATTCTTTAAACATATATGCCGTTTTTATACTGTTTTACAGGCTTCCATATGCTTTAAAAAGAAAACTGGTAAAATTATTTATAATCAAACTGGCAAGTTGGGCGTATAACATTATCTTCAGAATCTCATAGAATGAATTGGAAACCAACTGCCATTATCAGATTATTTCTATGCATTTCCTCAAAATAAGAGTAGTAGGATCAATTTGTACATGACCAAATGCCAGAACCATATGGAGGTTTATAGTATAAGCCACAGTCAACAAAAGTTCTGTCGTTAAGTGGTCTTGATGTACAAAAGGTTGTCTATAGGCTGAGCTGACATTTAGGTATCCCATTCATTCAGACAAGGAAGAGTAATACAAATATGGAGAGGTTTTTGTTTTCATCTCTCCACCTAAAAACCAAAGGAATGAAACTTTTGCCCTGGTTATCTAATTTTATTTATTTATTTTTTAATTTCACCTGTAAGGACTGAATTTGTGGTTGTATATTCCAATTTCTGTACTATTATTTGTCTTCCTCTCCGAATAGTAATGAGATCTTTTAAAATGGGAACTAAATCTTTATTTTAAAATTGATTTCTACTAACAAAGCAGTAAGCATCACATAGGCCTACATAAATACAGAAAACATGAATAAAAGCAGAGTCTAGTCCAATAACAAATGATGCTTACTTAGAAATAGATCTGTATTTTATATGATGAAGGGAATGCTAACATGTGCAGAATGCATTTCTGGAGCACTTACTTTGTTGTGGATGTGGTAAATGTTCTCCAGATGTTGTTCCAATTTAACCTTTCCTGAGAACTGAGGTGACAATTATTACTAGCCACTTATTGAGGGATACAATAGTGAGGTTTAGAAGTAAAAGCTCTAGTTAGCATCACACGGTTTATAAATAATAGAACTATGATTTATTATTTTGACCTTTATTATTCTGTACGAGTTGGTACCAGTCATAAGATATTTTAATTACTAACAATATATGGGAGACATGGCTCTCGTATATAATGACAGGAACTTTCTGCATAGATTGTTAAAAATTAAAGTTTATAGTAGTTGATATCATTGCAAATTAAACATAGGTATGATTTTTCATATATACCATACAAAATGTAAGCAAATAAAACTGTTTTTAATTTTTTCAACTTTATTTCAATATTGATGAAAACTAAACCATCACCGTTTAGATTTTTTACACATGAGTAATTTAATTTCACTTAGGAAAATGTTACTTTTGTTGTGACTTGTTTTCTTTCCCTGTTTTATATGAAGTTGTTTTTATAAGTGAGTAATTTCATGTATCACATGTCATATTCAAGAACATACTTCTTCTCTTTCTGTATTATTTTTTTAACTTTTACAGTGGCATATTTTCAGTGCACTTTGCAATTACCCACTTAACATTTCATTAGGCAAAACAAACACATAGAATGCAGAAAAAACAATTGCTCAAGAGTACTAAGGCTGTCTCAAATGTTAACTAAAGAGGTTACAATTTTGTACTCTGCTTATTAATTACCAGAGATGATGGAAAACATTTGATTTGGGAGGACTGATTTATTTCACCAAGATAATAGTTTCCAGTTGCATACATGCTGTTGGAAACTATATTATTTCATTCTTTTTGTGCCTGAGTAAAATTCCATTTTCTTTATCTAGTCATCTATTGATCAACATGCAGGTTGATTCCATATGTTAGCTCTTGTGAATTGCTAAGTTATAAGTGGAGGTAATTTTTTACCATTACTCTCATGTGCTATTCCCTTTTGGGTAAATTCTCTAGGGATAGGATGAATGAATCAATCATATGATATATCAATGGACAAATCAACTAGACATAAAATCAACAGACCTAATCTATACCATGGACCAAATCATCCTAAATGATATCTACAGAATATTACATTCCATGATTATAAAATACACATCCTTTTCATTACTACATGGAACTTACTCTAGAAAACATTCTAATCCATAAAAGAGACAGCAAACTAAAAAAAATGAAAATTGGATTATGTAGCATATGAGTGCCATTGAATAAAGCTGTAAATCAACAATTCAAGGAACTGTAGAAAATATGCAAAAATATCGACTGAATAATACACTGCTAAATGAACTTTGGGTCAGAGAAAAAATCAAAGGAAGATTCAAAACTTCTTTGAAATGAATGAAGACAGCGCAACATATCAAAACAAATGATTCAGCAAAAGCATTGTTAAGGGGGGATTTCATAGCTATAAGTGCCTACATCAAAAATTAAAAAGGCATCAAATAAATGATTTATCAATGCATCCTAGGGACCAATAAAGCAAACCCCAAATTACTAACAAATAATTAAAATTGTTACAAATAACCAACATGTATAACAAAATATTAATTTTAAAAATTGTTTTCATGGGAATCAACTGCAGATTATAATAAACATAATTGAAAAGTATCTTCATTTTTTTCAGATCCAAGAAATTAATAGAATTAATGATGAAGAAAGTGACTATGAAGAGGATTTTATCTCATTTTCGAAATGTTCTCTCAGTAAGTTTTCCTGTATACTAAACACATTTGTAACCTATATTATGTATAGTATTATAGCATTACAGTATTATTCATACATTATGTATAACATGTATTATACATATTATGTATGTAAGCTATATTATGGTATAAGTGACTTGAAAAGTAATTGATATATCTCTAAGACAGCATAAATTGGGAGCCATTACTACATGATAGCACTAATTTAAATAGCTTTTAATAACTTCAAACTTTAATAATCAAACATGATTATTCCTACCTAGAGAGAATACATACATCAAGGTGATATTTTATATAAGTGAGTTTTTTCCATGTTTTTTTCAAGTTCTTTGCAGACCATAGTTTTCTCATCTATGAAATTTATCAGAACACTCTCTCAGGTGCTCCTGGCTTTAATTGTTGTTTTAACATGTTTCATTAGTATGCAATACTTGCTTTACCAGGATGCCTGAAAGCATCTCACACCCCAACATTTTATTTAATTTATTTGAAAGGCAGAATTACAGAAAGAGAGGGAGAGAAAACGAGATCTTGTACCCCATGTTCACTCCCCCAAATAACTGCAAAGCAGGGCTAGTCCAAGTGAAAGCCAGGCTCCAGGAGCTTCTTTTAGATCTCCCACGTGGATGCAGGGACCCAAGTTCTTGGGCTGTCAGAGAGCTGGATCAGAAGTGCAGCAACCAGGGCTTGAACTAATTCACAAAGGGACCCAGCATTGCAAAGAGCAGCCTAAAATGCGGCACCACAGTGTTTGTCCCCCAACATTTCTTAAAACCCTGATTCCTACCACATCAAAACTTTCCACTTTCTGACAGTTTTCATCTTCTGAGATGCGAATGTTTCTTTTTTCAACACATTGCAAAATCTGACATTATCCTTTGCTTCTTATGTTCTCTCCTGTACCAAATCCAATCCAATCATACACCGCGAGTGAGCTGCCATCAGTATGTCTCATCTGTTTTGTTGTCACTTAAACAAGTCCAAACTATTGTCAGCTCTCTGCTGTTTCTATCACTGAAATGGTTCTCAGGGGAGAGCTAGTTGCTACCACTGTCACTGAAAGTTTTACAATTAACACGTTTTAAGTTCCATAATTCAGAGATGGAGAATCGCTATCATTGAGTCACTACTGATACTAACAGATGGGAGGTTTTATCATCTCTCTCTCCGTCTCTACCTGTAATTCCATCTTTCAAATAAGTAAATATTTACTTTAAAAACTACAATAGCAACTTTCATATCTATAGACTCTAATGCCATAAGCTTTATACGATTAACCACTTTTTCCTCTAACTTCTCGTGGAACTCCTAACCTTTATCATCACTTTCCAGGCTTTACATACTCACTCAGTTTTATCTCTGTCCATACCCTTGCTTGGCCTTGATGACACTGAACACACCAAACATGGCCCACCTCGGGAAAATTGTTCTTCCTGGTCCTTCAACATGTTTGTCCTCCAAGTATCCACATGACTTCTTTCCTATCAAAATCTTCTCAGCAATTGCTCTTAGCCTTCCATTTATCATCTCCATCTCTTCATTGTACTTATCATCATTGTCATTTTATTTGGTTATTTTCAGCTTTTCTTCTCCATTAAGAATATTCATCCAAAAGGATCAGGACTTGCTTAGTCTGTGACTTTGATTCTATACCCAACACCTGTCACAGTATATACATGATGCTCAATTAAATATTAGAGGCAAGTTTTTTGGTTGACAGCTTGATGTGCAAATCAAATGGTGTTTAATTCATTACTTAAACCAGCATACATGGGCAAAATCAGTAAAATCCTTTAAACATTACAGATAAAAATATGCTGAATATCAAATGAATGACTGTACCAAAATTTAGTTACAGGTCTTTATTGTAACAAAAGTGTTAAAACCCATGATTAATAATAACCACATGTTCATAATGATATTTAATCCATTCAAAAGACTATATAGTGGCCCTGTATGTTAACCTAGTGGCTAAATCCTTGCCTTGCATCCACCAGGATACCACATAGGCACTGGTTCATATCCCAGCTGCTCAAATTCCCATCCAGCTCTCTGCTTGTGGCCTGGAGAGCAGTATAGGATAGCCCAAATCTTGGATCCCTATACCCAAAAGGGAGGCCCAGAAGAAACTCCTGCCTCCTGGCATCAGATCAGCTCAGCTCTGGCTGTTGTGGCCATTTGGGGAGTGAACCAGTGGATGGAAAATCTTTCTATCTGTATCTCCTTCTCTATATATCTTCCTCTCTAATAAAAAAAAAAATAATAAAATCTTGTAAAAAATGTTCTATACTAGGGGAAAAAATCAATCCTTTGTAAAGAAAAACCTCAAATTTACAATGGTTGGAACTGCACATTCTCTTGTAATTGGGCTTATCCCTCTGGGGTTTTTGTGGTAATGAGGATGGAGGTGTGAAATATGGAATGCACTAATTCAGTGAATTTCTACTGGTGTCACCATCACTAGAGTGAGAAAACCCACTGGTTCATTCAATCTGACATGTCAGGGTTGGCTTCCAAGTAACAAAAAGATTCTTTTAGTTAGTATTATGAAATTTTGACTACATAAACTGTTGTGGCCATGAGCAATTTCCTATGAAAGGAGTATACTTTGATGACTGACTTGCCCAGACAGAGACAGTGAAGACCCTCTGCTAGTTTGATCAAGAGCTTCTTTCCATACCTTCTGACTATCCCAGCAGCATTTCTACTGTATTGCAGTAATTCAGGCTCATGGTTTGGTATTGAGGTAGGAAGGTAAGTGAGATATCTTGTGCAAATCCTGCAAACTGGAACTTTAGTCACCAGCAGGAGCAGAGAAGACAAAGAGTCTTGATTTGGTTACAAGGTTAGCAGTTAGATCTTACTTTCGCAGTGAGGAGGGAGAGAGAGAAAGAGAGAGAGAGAGAAAGAGAGAAAGAGAAAGAAAGAAAGAGAAATGCTATGTGGCATTCTGGAATACCATTACTGGCATGATATTTTTACATGACTAATTATTTTGACATTGCTAAAAATTTTCTAAAGCCTAACCTCCATTTTTTCAAAGCAATCATTTCCTACACCTTATTTGGATGTTTTCCATTATCCTTTAGCTGGGCACAGTTTTAACATCAGTTATTATTTGTACTTGACATTGATAACAATTCACATATTTCAAATTCTGTGTGGAGATCCTAAACTCTAAAATTGTTCTGAGCCATTTCTGTAGAGAAAAATTTTTGTAGAGAAAATGTAATAAAATATTTTAAAGTTACTATTTTGATGTAGTTTTGCTATTTCTTTACTGAGTAGATAAAGGCCATTTATTGTGTAAAATGGCATGTTTCTTTGAAAAGAGGCAATTTTACTGGGTCATTTGTTAAATTTCAAGATAGAATACATTTTGAAGGTGAGAGAACTGAACTTTAGATTTACCTGATTTAAATGCTTTCCCCATCAAAAAAGAAGTTAACATTTTTCTCAATTCAAGAAATATTTCTAAAGTATATTAACCTTATTTTAAACACATAAGATATGCAAAACTACATAAAATGCCCTATGCAAGATTCAGCCATTAGCCATATTAGGTGAGGGTGTGGAATGGGCTCAAATTGTGTAGGGGGAAAATTGAGGATGGTCCTCATTAGCTTTATTTTTCAGAACATCCAGCATTCTGAAAATTTTATTGCCACACTCATTTTCCCAACATTACTTTATATTATTTTCCAAAATCACACAAGGTCCTATGTATAAATATATTTAAAATTATTAATTTTACTAAAATTATAAATAGGTATTTACTACCTTAAGTGTGCATTAAAATCATTAAGTGATAAATTAATTTTTTTTAATTTACAAGCAATTTCAAGGGGTTCATTTCTTTTGTCTTCTGTTAAGCTTTTCATTGACACTCTTCCCTTCATTGAATCTGTTTTCTAATAAAATGCATAATGCCATCAAATGGGTATCTACTCAGTGACTCCAGAGAACTGGAAAATCACTATGTGCTTGATCATGTCATCTGTTAAGGTAGGATGATACAATGGAACATTGTTCATTCATCCAGTAAGCATTTTAGACGCCCAGAAATGACTTTAATAGAGATTATGCACTTGGCAGCTTTCTACTCTATCAGGCCATGAAAGTTTTTATTAGCAGGACCACCTTTTCAGTATGAGTTACAAAACGTAAACTGCCTCCAAGATGATGTGCCTAAATGAAATCATACAATCTTCTGCATCCACAGCCTCAGAGAACCCTGCGTCCCATCATGAGAGCAGGACACATGAGCCAAGTGCAGACGGAGCCCAGGCAAATAGAACCACGGGGAGCAAGCATGAGAATGAATCTGACGTGGAGACACAGCGCAGGCCGTCTGAGACAGGCAGTGAGAGTTCTGAGAACCATTATGATGACCTGTATGCCGTCATCCCTGATGTGGAGCCAGAAAATAATCTGCCAGTGTCACACATGAGCGACAGACCCCCACTCCCACCACCACGCCCTCGAACTATGACTGCTGCCTTCCAATTGGAAAGGCCTCACTGCACGCTGCAAGGTAAGCCTGAAGATGATAAAATAAATGAGGTTGGACACACTAACACAGCACCATGAGGTCAGAAAATGTACAGAGAACAGGCTTCAAAATCCAGAGCAAACATCCTCCTGTTTTTTTTAATATCCAGGAAACAAGGAAAGAAACACCTGCCACCACCTGTCCTTCCCTGCATTCTTCACTTCTTCCCTCCCCTCGCTACCTTTTCTTTCTTGTGGAACAAACTACCTTGACAAAGCTGAAAGAATCAGACTTAAAGGGAGTTTGCAGTTTTGTGTTTAAAATGAAGGGTAGATCTGGTGAGAATGTAAACAAGGTTGCTATAATATATAATATCATGTATATAACCTCATTTTATTATACTAATATCTCATGTATAGTCATATATATAGTTTTACATATATACATACACACACATATATATATATATATATATATATACACACAATAGTCATATATTCTTCCAACAAGATTGATTCTTATGGTAACTGTAGGATAATGAAAGGTTGATTGTTCATTGCCCTGACCAAAGTCTTAATAATATTCTATTCATAGCCAAAGTAGAAAAACAGGTGATGTATCTGGCATGGCTTTTTCCCCCATATTCAGGTACAGGGGTGTTAGGTAATTGTGCAAAATCAGCTCTTGAACTTTTGTAGGAGGCAAATAGAAGAGCTTTCACATCAGGCTTGTCTATAGGAATCTCCAACAGCCTGAAAGACTTTGAGTTCCATATCCATTTTCCCAACATAATGTTATATTATTTTCCAAATTCACACAAGGTCCTTATCAAGAAAATTTTACAACAACGCTGTAAAACACAAATTATCAGATCACATTTGGTGCTATGCATTAAATATTGTGTCCTGGAAAGCTACAATACACATGAATATAGTTTTACAAAGTGGATTTTGAAGCTGTGTGCTTGAGAGTGTGAATATAATCTCATCAATGCCCTAGTATGAAATTCCTTGTGATGATTTTTGGACATGTGTATTGGAGAAATTAAGAACACAGAACTTTGCAGAGACACTGCTCAGTTGATATGAAGAGAGACCATATACTTCTTAACAAACACAAGAAGTAACTCTCACTACAATACTTTGACTCAAAGATGTTGAACTTGTAATGAGAATATGCCAAATACTTCTTTGAACAAATCTCTTCAGCATTTTAGGATGCTGCTTCGTCCTTTTCTTAATACACTCTTGCCCAGTTACTTAAGGGAACAGAATTTAAGGAATGATTTGGTGGGGAGGGTCTTCATTTGTTAATACACAAACTGAATTAAGAAGTCCCAAGTCCCACTCTTTGATGAGGAATATAATTTGATGATCTGGGAAATAAGAAGTGAGATGCGTTGCTTCTATTGCAAGCCCAAAGTTATGGAGTTAGGAAGTGATGTGGGGGAGGGAAAAAATGCAGTTATCAGCTCAGGGAATCAGTTTATAAAAGGTAAGATAGTTGACACATCCTGCTGAGAATGAAGCTTTCTAAAAGTGATCCCCACACAGCTCATCAGCTCACCAAGGTGCTGCCAGTGAAACAGAAGTCATGAAAAATATCTCCAAACCAAGTGATTTATAAGGAAAAAGGCATTTGTAGAGGTTCAGTGTTAGGTCCAGACTCATAGGTCATTAATCCCTCTTAAGCATATATGCTTTACTCACTTTAACCTAAAACTCCCTTTGGACATTATCTAGGTCTCTGCTCATAAGCCCTTCACAAGCAGTTACTGGATTCTCTTATTACAATATCCTTTCATTCTATCCTGAAAATGTTTTTCCATTATTTTCTCTTTTCATGATTCCAGTTATACACAGCCACCCACACTTAATCATGCAAAAGGGTTGCAGGGGTTGGGAATGGCTGGGGGAAAAGAAGGTGCTTCCCACATAATATAATCAGTAGCCAAAATATATAGGATGAGATTTAGCCTAGTAACTAAGATGCTGGTATCTGGTATCAGAAAACAAGGGTTGAACACCCAGCTTTAACCCCTGCCTCTAGCTTCCTGTTGATAAAGTTGCTATCAAGTAGTGGTGATGACTCAAGTAAACAGATTTCATACCCTCATGTTGGAAGCCAGGATACAGTTCCCAGCTTTTAACTTTGTGCTCACCAATCCTGATAACTGTGGAGATTTGATGGAATAACCAGTAAATAGGAACATGTTCTCTCTCTCATCCTCAAATAAATGAGTTATCCTTTTTAAAAATATATATCTGTCATAAAATTACTGCCAAAATATTTTGACATAAAATATATAAAGGTTTTACTCCACATTGAAAACCATAAGGGTCCTGGAACCTTTAATATACTTTCCATATAAATTTTCAAATGATTGATTCTTCATGTTTTTGTATGTTATGAATCCTAATTTTAGCATCCTTTATTCAAAACTGAAGCTCTTGGGCCCAGCATGGTAGCATAGTGGCTAAAGCACTTGCATTGCCTGTGCCAGGATCCCATATGGATGCCAGTTCATGTCCCAGATGATCCCTGCCTATGGCCTGGGAAAGCTGTGTAGGACAGTCCAAAGCCTTGGGGTCTTATACCCACATGGAAGACCCAGAAGTTTCTGGCTCCTGGCTTTGGATAAGCTCGGGTCCAGCCATTGCTGCCAGTTGGGGAATGGACCAGCAGATGGAATATCTTTGTGTCTCCTTCTTTCTGTAAATCTTCCTTTCCAATAAATTTTTTAAAAAGAAGAATCTCTTGTCCTGGAGATAAACAGTTTCATTTTTGAAGGTCAATTTGTCATAGTCAGAGACCAATTTCTAGAAAACTAAGTAATGATGACTTTGACAATTCCCTCTCATTTCACAGAAATTGAATTCTAGGCAAAATACAAAATAAAAGCAACTTAAAAATAAAATTACTTTAAATGCAAAGAAAAAATTCCAACTTAAAAAAACAAATTTGCAATGTATTTGGATTTTCAGATTTACACATCATGTATCAATTTCATGAAATTAAATCATTCGCTATCTAAAAAACAGTGTAAAAAATAGGTTTTCATAGAAATTTATCTTAAAATCTTTTCTTAAAAAAATCAGTTATAAACCACAAGAAATTATGTTTGCAATTTTATGAGGTAATATGTGAATGATTCTTTTCCAGATTTAGGACTTCTTTTATACTATTTTATATGAGATTTAATTAGTTACTCTTTAAGGCTCCATCAAATGCTCAATGGGCACCAATGAGACTGCACATAGAATAATCACAATCTAAATATTTTATAAGCAGGAAAAATGGAAAGTCAAATGGAAAGAAATCAAAATTGGTGTGATGCTGGTGTAAGAAAAGAAATTGGGGCTGAATTCAAAGAAGAAGAAGAAACGGAAGAGGATGGACCAGGGCGGCAGGAAGAGGAAGATCCATATATCTTTGCGGAAATTGATGACAGCGAATATGACACCATACTGGCCAATATGAGTATCAAGAAAAAATCTGGAAGTCGGTCTTTCATTATAAACAGACCTCCTGCCCCTACACCAAGACCCACACACATCCCTCCAAAGGAAGAAACCACACCTTACATAGCTCAAGGTAATGTGCTATTGCGGTGGTCCTTTATGGATTTACTGTTGCCATTTTGTGTATCGCAAGACAGGAAGTGTAGAGAATAGGACTAGTGTTCTAAAACTCCCATGATTAAAATGATCTTTTCATGATTTGTTATCAGTTGGTTTCTTAATTTTAAAAATTAGTGGATAAATATTGATGGGTTTGGTTCTAGTTGTGTAGTTGTGTTTTGTAGTTGTGCTGTTGTGTTGTGGTGTTGTGTTGTGTTTTGTTGTAAGCTCCAAGTAGCACTAGTTTTCACTTAAATGTAGTGCAGAATGCTGAGGTCAGATCCTGAGAAAACCTGTCACGTTAGCCATTCAGATACATAATGTCCAGGCAAGGAATAATTTCTGCCTCACTTTGTGCCTCAGTTCCACATCCAAGCTACTTCTGTTCAGTTTCCCTGTGACTAAGTGTCTCAGCACAGATAATTGCCACATTTTAGGTCACTGCAGAAGGAATTTGAGGCCTTACCAACTTTAGAATTCCAGCCCCTCCTCACATTAAGTTAGGGAACTGGGATTGATATCCTTCTGATGTATATCTATATACTGCTTACATGAAATTACATTATAAAGTCTTTGTATTGAGAAATCATGTAAAGTTCAGACATAACAAGAGTACAGTTTGTCCTATACATACGTACATGTATAGGACCCTTAACGAATCTCAGAATCTTGATCTTCTAAGATATTTTAGCAGTTGTGTCTTATACACCCATGCTAGCTCTGACATCTTCAACACTTATAAAACATGTTTTTAGTCAAGTTACACAATATAATTTGTTCTTGTATTATTTGAATTAAATGAAGAAACATTTATAGGGGTTTGCAATTAAACACATAGAATTGTTTTTCCCCCCACATTCCAAATCAGTATAAAAGCTGGGCTGCAAATGAAGTCATCAAAACCGACTTCCATTTCTTACATTTGGACATACTTGCCCACTCTTTTGTGTCAGTACCACTAATGGTTAATCAGTTTTCTCCCTGAGTAGGAAGAAAGCAGATCATCAGCTACTTTTTATGGGGGGAGGAAGTTCTCCGCATTCCACACACACAAGATCTTTTATCACACAGTTACTTTTTTATCATACTTAAAGTGCATCCACTAAATAAAATTGCTACCAATTCTCAGAAAGTTGTTCATTCAATTATAGAAATAATTGTCCCCATTCTTGCCTAAACAAAGAAGTGGTAATATGTTAGGATACCCAGGGTTAGTATAACCAAAAGGATGTGAAAGAGGGGATGAATGGATTATTCAGAATCCCAAGAAACTCAAAAATAAGTTGCTTTAGCAAGTCCTTATAATAATTAGGCAATTTTTGTTACAATTTTTCATCCATACAATAATCTTACATGGCTTAGATTAATATCATCATTTTACAGATAAGGAAGCTCATGCTTATCTTGTCCTAGTGTCTTCCTGATGATGATTGAACTGTGAAAAAAGGTAGGATTTGAGCCCAGAAGAGTCTAACTCACATACCTGTGCATATAGCAACACAAATGTCCCTTATTGTAGTTACTTCTGGATTACTCATTCATATCTATTTCCCTTTTCTAGTCCACAAGATCTGTGATGAAAACCAACCTCGCCTATTTTTGGCCATTATTGTATCTCTGGTGCCACACTCTGAATAAGCAAATGATAGAAACAATCAGAACCACATCAGTGTGGTTGTAACAGAGGGTATCATTAACACTCTGGAGGATGGTCAGAAAACTACACTAGTCTACTAAATTTGAATTGCTTTGACGATGTGTAACAATTAAGGAGAAGTTCTATTTCAACTATCCCCTTTGCCTAGGAAGTGTAACTCACTACTACATAACTAAACCAAATTTGTCCCATTTTAGACAAAGATTTTTAATTCTTTATAATGTTTCTGTTGTACTAAGACAAATCTTAATAAGCAAAACAAGAATAACTCATTTTTCTGCTTATTTTTAGATGTGATACTTCTGTCTCCTTTTAATATCAGAAGGGTTCAGGTTCAGTAAGCTTCAAGAACATGGAAGAACTAATAAGAATTTTTACTTTTTTTGATAACAGAATTCCATGCTTTACACAAATCAAGAATACAGAGTGACAACATAGCATGGTGTAGATAGTCTGGTCATAAAGGCATATCTATAAATCATGTAAAAAATATGGGGAAATATTTTCAACATCAGGAGATAATTTTTCACATTTCAATCTTATGATTAATAGAACAATGGTCCTTCAGAGTCCATGTAGTTGATCTGGAGTAGAGTATAATTTCCTTTTCAAATTTCAATTGCTACTAAGTTGCCCTTGGCATTTTCTTATGCAACAAAGTTGAACATGACCTTTTTGAGAGCTACTCAGTTACTAGGACCCCAAAATGTCAAGTAGAACTCAGTTGTTCTCACAAATTTTCCACTTGCAATCCATTCATAATGGAACTGATCACATACAATGCAATTGAAATGCAAAAAGCAAAAGAAGGTCCTTGTAGAAATGCTTAGGAATATTAATCTGTATCATTGTGAATATGACAAAATAGAATGGTCTCTGTCCTCATTTGTAAAGAATTACAGTCAAGTGGCTTCAAACAGGTCTTAGATCAAGTTCCACCTCTCTGCCTGGGTGACCTTGTCCAGACCATTTATCTTCAGGACAGAGTATTGTATATTGCAGGTGCTCTCATAACAGAGATACATATTACTCTTTGTGTTGACAAGCCTAATGTTCCTGTTGTTCTGTCTCCCCCTTTCTCCTGTCTGCTTGTGGGTTTCAGTGCAGCTCTGCTCAAAGTCATTCTGATGTTTGCTCATACTGTCCATTGAAGGAGACAAAAGCTTCCCTTGTAACCCAGGTGCTTTGTGTTACCCTTTCCTTCTTACATCAGAACAGAAAGATTCCCTGGATCCTGCATAGACTCTGACACCTGAAGAGGGCTTTGCAGATCACCAGCGAAAAGAGTGTAGTCCTAAAAAGGATCAACTTTTCTACCCTCAGTTCCATTATATTAGTGAGGATAGAAGAAAGCAATAATCAACTGAGTTGACATTAAAGGATTTGTGTTATATAAGAAAATAAGCATAAATATTGGCAAGCACTTAAATGTCCAATGATATTCACCTCCTTAAAATATGATGCCTCTATACTCTTAAAAACAATCTTTAGTAAGAAATGTACTTGACCTACAGCAGTTCTTGGTTGATGCCGATTTGCCTCCAGGAAGACCTTTAGGAACATCTATAGACATCTCAATGGTCATGAATACTGCTTGGTGGCATCTAGTAGCCAAACGTTGGGATGCTGCTACATGCCCTGTAGTGCAGAGGCTCCTCCTAGAATAAAGTAACTCCTCTGGCCGAAATATTACTAAACTAGTACTAAGCATTATTTCAAAGGTGAACTCATCATAGATTATAAAGTCTTCCAGTGGCTTTCTTAGTACCCAAACTACTCTCCGTGGGAACAAACAAAATACTAGGGATTTTATTAATAAACACACTTATGTAATTTCCTTAGTGAATACAAATGAGCAAAAAGAGAAGTCAAAGCAATGAGTCATGATGAAGTCTTATAGTAAACTAACTCCCAGTCCCAGGCTATGCAAGCAGCAGATATTTGATATTTGCTGTGTGCCTAATACCAAGAAGGAAGGAGACCTGCCCAGTACTGAGAGTGGCCACAAGCTGTGATTACATAGAATCCCACATCCCACCTGTCCTCTCATAGAATGTTCCAAATTGCAGGATGAGGAACATGTCTAGAAGATGAGTATTATTGGCATCAGAAAAAGATAACTATGAAAAATTAAGTCCCTTAGTAGTAGAGACAGTAATTTATACTGAGAATATCCAAGTTTTTGGACAGGCTCTTAAAATGTCTTTTATAAGCTAGAAAGAAAATAGATGTCTTTATGTTAGGAAATTAAAGAATTCATTGATAGTGCCATTGAATAATATACTCTCTAAACCTTTTCCTTAACTCACATTTATGCCACCTTTCCATCTCTGCCCATCTCTAGAGGAAGCCATAACCATTTCATTGACATCGTGTCTCTGGCTCACCATTTACACATTCTCCCTAAAATAAGAAGCCACAACTGGCAATGACTATCTTCCTTAGCTCACTTCAGTAGTTAACAACCTAAGGAGACTTTCCAGGGAAAGAATAGCCACACTGCTGCTGCCCTACAGATGACTGTTTTCTGAAAGCCTAAAACAAAATTCATAACATGAGTATTTTGTCTTATATCAAATCTCTAGTTTCTGGGATGAAAATCACTGATAGCTCTAGAGTGCTAAACAGCATTTCCTTTTTCACCTGTAATGGAAATGCAATATCAAGGGGGTCATGGATTACAAATCACAGCTTCATGAATGCTATTAGCTATTGTGCAGAGTTCCCATCACCTTACCAACTTACATAATGATTCAAAATACAATCATCTTTCTAAGAAGGGCTGCACTTGAAATATGCCACAAATAGTGGTGGGAAGGATATTCCAGATACAGCCTAGAATGACCGTTACAGTATCTAAATGTGCTATATTTCACCTCTTCTATTCTGCTGGCTCTGCTTCACTTAAATATGAATATTTAATACTGTACTAATTTTTACCGCTCACTGTCGTTCCTGTTCTAGAGAAATTTTTTCTTAAACCATTCCAACAGCATTTAAAATAAATGGTGGTATTAACTGGTATGTCTGTATTATTTGGGATTATTTTAAACGTCATAACTTGATTTTCTTACCCTGTGGCCTTAAACAAAGGGATAGTGCACTGTGGTTTTGGTTTGCACTTCTGAAAATATTGTCTACTAGTAACTTCACACTCGTTTATTAATATATTCAAATACTAGTCAATCTGGACCAACTATATCTTAGAATGCTTGTGCTGAGTGAGATGTGTAGAAGCCTAAAACCAGGAAAAGAACGATTTGTTCCCATTTCATTACTATCAAGACAAAGACAAAAACTTTTACTCCTTCCAAATGTGTCAGTTTGGTAAGCGTTCTGGCATACACAATTTCTCAAAAACTTCATAATGTAAGGAGTGTATATATATAAATCTGAGTGGCCTACAACTCCCTCATAAATTTTATACTTACTTCCTATAAATGTTGTGTGGAATGATTGAATATTGTTATAAAGATTTTAGAACAAAGATTTTACTGGTGTAATTTAAGAAGTTTCAGCTAATCTGAACCATAAAAAAGGAAAATTAAATTCTAAGTCTTACAGTTAGTGTTTTTTTATTAGTCATGGGGAACGTGTCCTTGATCGACATGTGCTTCATGATTCTTTTCCTAACTTTGCTGTTCCTTCAGCAAACAAGTTCAAATAAGCCTTTTCCCAAGATTATATTTGTAACAACCACCTAACTTCATGACGAAAGACTGCATATCTGGCTATCTGCTATTGCTAATTTGGTTTCTGGTAGGACATTTCTATCAGTAGATAGAGAAGAAGGGATGCAGCTGGAAGTGAATGAGGAAGAATTCTACAGCCCCTAATCAGACAAAAGAAATTTGTACCCCAAGGGCATGACCTACAGCTCATCCTTCTTTGAAAGAATTCTGTTGTCAGCCTTTTCATAATTATAGCATTTAGAACATCTGTCTCCCATTCCATTGCTCCAACCCTACCCTTATCTCAATGCATTTCTTAATTTAGTAATTTAAATGGCTAACTTAATGCCTATTTTATCTCATATTGGGTAACCATTTTTATCAGAATACATTCCAGCACAGAGTGTAATGTTATTTTTATAAATTAACACCAAAAATGCTGAAAAGTATCATATTCCCTGCAGCTTCAAAATGCAGAAGAATTTATGTTATCAATGTAATTTTATTTGAAAAATTTGTTTTATTTGATCTTTCAGGTCCCTGTTCATATTAATGGTGCTAGCCCACAGCTTTTTTAGTCTTAGAAATTCTTATAAACTAACAATATCAGCAAAAATTAAAGCATAAACTCTTGAATGTTATTAAAATTTCAAAATAGCTGCAACATTGAGACTTTCAGAGTTGACCAATGGAAAGTAGCCAAGCACCACATGTAAAACTGCTTCTAATATCCTCAAATATATCTGCATGCCAAATATCCTTCAATACATTTTGCTTTAGAAAAAATGTAGACCACAAGACCAGAATTTGCCAGTTATATTATGTATGTTTCCCAAATACTGAGTCCAAAACCTGATTCTCAAGCATAATTTATTTCATGTGTATAGCTTTTCTTAAATATCTCATTGTTTGAAAATATGTTTGCTTCTCCTCAGAATAGCAGAGAGTAGCATCCTTTCTATTTACAGCAGTTGGTTGTTTACATCTGCTTAATAAATAATTACTGATTTGATACTATTTGGGGCAACTTTTAAGTTAAGAAAATGCCTTCTGGATTAATCCAGCCCCAATTTTGATACTAGACTGGTTTAAGAATATTTAAACAAACAGTATTAAAATGAAAGAGATCCCGTGGTAACAGTTGGAAGTTTTCTCCCAAGGAAAGTGATCAAACACCATCCAAGAGAGTCCCACTCCACTTGTCTTAGGTCGCTTTCCCTGAGGAAACTAGAGAAGCAAGCAGAATAGAAATCCTCTGTCCCTGTGTCTGCTTTGAGTAGTTACAAAATGCAGACCCCGGGATGGTAAGGAGCCAAACATTAGCTTCAAGTTCAAGGCTGGAGTGTGTAAATCACATCTCTACCCACACTTCCAGGATCCTTGCAAAATTACTTAGCCCTTTCCTAGCAAGTTACTTCCACCACCCCCGTCTATATAAACACATGCGATCGGACTAAATCTCCCAGGCCTTTTCCAGTTCCCAAACCCTGTAATTCAGACTGCCCATAAAGAATAAATATAGCTCTGGGGTGTTCATTTTCTAAAGTAAAGTTGTAAACGGTCCGGACTTTTTCATTAACAAATGCCAAGCAGCTATATGGAACTTTGTGGGTGCTCAATAAATATTAAACGATCAATTTTATCTTTCATCTGCAAAGTGGGGTGAGTAATGCTGACTTGTCTCTCAGAATTTTGTGTGAGAAATAATAAATGAGAACAAAGCACTTTTCAGATAATGAAGTAATTCAAATAGGCTGCTTTAATACATCTGAGGTCTGGACAGATGATGCAATAATAAAATGTCTTTTTTATTGTTACATCTGCAAAACACAACCATCTTTTCATCTGTTTAAGAAGAAACAGTCATGGTCCCTTGTTTATCACCAGAAAGTCAGCTTGACTAGTTCCTGTGCTAATGGAATTTTTCATGTGAATTTGACATTCATCCGTTTTAACAAAATGCAGCTTTTATCTTTACCTAATATCAAAATGGAATCATATCTTGATTGAACCAGTTTAATGAGCCATTCCATTAGTATTATACTACTGTATTCAAGAAAATGCTTTCTGGTATGACTGAGAAGCTGTACAAATGAGAAAACTGCCAGTTTAATAATACAATTCAGGAGTTTTTGCCTAAGAAAATGATACATTGCAATCAAGCTTCGTGTAGACCGCCACAGAATGTTTTCTTTTAATGTTTATGCACAGTAAATCAGATGTTTTCCTTTTTCCTTTTTTTTTTTTTTTTTTAGTATTTCAACAAAAGGCAGCCAGAAGACAATCAGATGGTGACAAGCTCCATGGTCCTACTAAGAAACAAGGTACTGGCACTAACTTCAGTCTGGTTAATAATTTCTAAGTAAGGTTAAAGAAATACTACAAAAACTGAATAAAACCCCCTGGGACAAAGTAAATTGCTGACATGTTTACTTAATTTTACTCTTAAATTCTCTCACCCAAATCAAATTTTGACATAATAAAATTAGTGCATGAAAACTGTATCAATTCACAAAGGCAGGAAACGAAAGGCCTTGAGATAATATTTGGTAATAATGATGTCGATGTTGTGTTCAGGTCTCCAGGAAGGTCAAATAAGATATATTCTGTAGCATGTATCAGAGGCCTCATTTTCATGGACCCATGGAGGGAATCTTCTGGAAGTGAACTTAGAGGGAGGGGTAGGTGATTGCCCAGAGACAGACAGAAAAGGATTTTCTCTGCACCGCATGCCAATCCAAACTGATACCCTTCTCTCAGTTTGGAGGACTTTGACACTTACATGATAGCATGTAGGCAGTCGTTTTTTCATGCTTATAAAAGCTGAACATTGTAGCAACAAATTCTGTGCCTCCATTTTCCCCTGAAACATGTTTCCTTTTGTAAAATGAGACTACCATAGCTTTCTTTCCTGACCATCAAGCCAGGTTTAAAGTTCAAATATGAAAAACAAAAAATGTAAATGGAGACATAGTTAAAGTGTAACATTAGCTGGCTCTGGTAATTCATGAGCATATTTAGACCCACCTTTGAAATGATTCTGGTCCAAAAATGATACTACTTTGGAATTGGTACCAGGACATTAAAATAAAACAAGGTAACTATTACATAAATAGATGGTACAGACTGCCATATTCAGTTTCCTTTTGTGCCACTGTGAGGATGGCTTACGAGCAATGGATGACAGCATCTCTTAACACCCATTGAACTATTAAATACAAAACCTCAATACCCCTGCTCCTGAGACGGTTTGTCTCTCCTCCAAAGCTGTATCATTAAATCAGTGAATTTTAGCCACCATTTACTGTGGCAAGTCCTGTTTTACCTGGATCATTATTTCAGTTGAGAATATGGATGGTGTTTGAATGCAACAGATAATGAAGTTGAGTTTCTACATTCCCATGGAACATGTGAATATAGTGCTTGTAACTTTACATGGCAAAAATATAACAAAAACAAAACAGCAAAAAATGGGGCTGTTGCTTTGGCGTAGATTAGACCTCTGCCTCCGTATGGGCACCAGCTCTTGTCTCTGCTGCTCCACTTCCCAACCAGCTCCCTTGCTTGTGGCATAGAAAAGCAGTAGAGAATAGCTCAACCCCTTGGGACCCTGCACCCACATGGGGGACCCAGAAAAAAGCTTCTGGTACCAGGCTTCAGCTCAGCTCAGCTCAGCTCTGGCATCCATCTGGGGAGTGAGCCAGCAAAGGAAAACCTTTCCCTGTGTGTCTCCTTCTGTCTATGACTCTGCACTTCAACAGACTAAATAGGTTTGTAATACAAAATATAGCAGCAAGAACAACAAAAAACATGTTCTCTACTGCTGGGTCTTTCTTTGGGGTGGAAGAGCAGAAATTTGTTGGCTTTTGTTTTTACAGTTTCCAATTTTAGTTTCAATTTTCTATTTTTGTGATTTCATATTTGAAGAGCAAGATAACTCTTTTAAAGTCCACTATTATCTTCCCATTTTGCCTTTAGTTCTACTTGAGCTAAACCTCCATATGAGATCCTTGCATAGTTAGCAACGAAACCATTCTTGCAGGATTCAGGTAGACAGGATTATTCATATGTGGACACTTATATAACCACACAGCTTTGGGTAGAACAAAGAGTGAAGATTCTTTGATCTCTTTGGGAGAATATTTCCATGAAGCATTTTTCTCATAAATGATTCAAATATCATATCTTTAATTGCATTCTGTTAGAATTATGGGGAAAATGGGAAGGCCACAGGAGATGAAGGTGCCAAACACTAAGTCTAACAGAGAGACCTTGGAAAGCTTGGGTTATCATTTGTCCTACAGACTGGACCAGACATAGTAACATAAAAAAACAAAATTATTATTTTATTATTTTGCCATATGTGTACAATGACATTTTCCTTGTCTGCCCAGATAAAAAAGGGCACGGCGGGGGGGAGGAGAGGATGGTAAAAGGAAACAAAACAATTATTCAAAATTATATTGTTTTAATATCTCCCCATATCCTATTACCTAATTTGTCTTATCAGGTGGTTTTCATGAGATTTTTGGAAGTCTTTGGAGACAAAAAACATTTGGAGACAACATTTTTCTCAGATTCATATATTTGAAAGGCTGAGTAACACGGAGGATGAGGTGTGAGATCGTCAACCTCCTGGCTCACTCCCCAGCTGGCTAAAATGGTCAAGGCTGCCCAGACCAAAGCCAGAACACTGGCACTTCCTCTGTGTTTCCCATGGTGAAGACAAGGCTTATGTACCTGGGATAACTTCTGCTTTCCCTAGCACATTAGCAGGGAGCTAGATTGTAAGTCAGGCACCCAGGAAGCAAACTAGCACTCAGTCTGATATGGTATGCTAGCATCATATACAACAGCTTAGTTTGTGCCATAGTAACAGCTCCTACTAAAATTTTTAATTACCTTTCATTGTATTATTTTTTGGTTCTGTATTCTTAATACATTTTATCAAAGACATATTTGGTTAGCTTATAGAAATTTTCTAAGATTCCTTGTATCTTGGCTATCAATAACTTACCACTATTTTCTACTTGGAAGGATTAGGGGAATATCATGCCTTATGAAATATTCTTTTAAATGATCCCATGAATACAATCTGCAAGTAAACCAAAATCTAGCAAGAGAAAAATATATATATATATATAACTGGAAAGAACTGGAGATAGTTTGAAATGAAAGAATTAAATGCATAGGAATTTACAAAGGCTTATTCTATCCAACCATGTTTGTTTAAATTGTTTCAGCCATATTGAGCATTCAATAAGTGAAACATACAAGGCAATCAAAACTACACACTAATGAATTGTAGTAGGCATTATGGCATAGTGGATTACGCCACTGCATGTGACACTGGCTTCCCATATTTTAGCACCATTTTGAGTCATGGCTGCTCTGCTTTTGATCTGGGTCCCTGTACAAATACTTTACCCCTTCCCCCCAAGTTTGAGACCTGGCTAGAATTCTAAATTCCCAGAAATGGCTATAGGTGACAAGGCCCCAGTACTTGTAGCCATATAGGGACTGACCCAAGGGAGGGAAGCTTCACATCTCCCCGTTTCTGCTTTTCACTTTACCTGTTCTCCCATTTTACACACACACACACCATATATACATATCCCTCTCTCTGCTTTTGAAATAAACATGAACATCTTTAAAAAACACAAATTAATGAATTCATAGATACTTTGAAACATCTTAGGATTTCATCAGGTAATGGGGAAAGCAGCTCCTTCACCAATAATGGTGTCTTTGTTAGGTAGAAAACAGCAACTGAAATAAAAGGCCTGTGATGGAATTCTTGTCAAAGTCAAGATGTTTGAAATGGATGAGACAAGTTCCTTAAATGTCAAAGAAATTACTTATTTCTTCCACCATATAAGTATTTCAGCTGCTGCCAAGAGATTGCCAGGAAATTACATTATTGCCACATCAAGGAATTTTCTGAGGAACAGAGAAAAAATTAATTGGCACCCTTTTCACGGAAATTCAAAAATTTATTCAATTTAATTTTTTTCATTTTGGAAAAAAATGTGAAGAAATTGCTGAGGCCTTTGGATGACAGATGAAATTTTCCACTGAGATACAATTAACTTTCAAACCAGTGCTCCCACGTTAATTTTCCAGGTGGAATATGCTGCACTGCACCTTACACCCCTTCCCAAACCAAGGCTCCTAAGACACTCATGAGTTTTCTCATCAATGTTACAAGTCGTTAGGAGACTATATTGAAATATGCTCAAGTCAGAGAGTGCTGAGGGAATCAAACGGCACTTCCTTGAATTTCATGGAACTGATTGTTCCTGCCTCACAAAACTAAACTGTAGTCCCAGGTCAATACTGAGAGTGTCACACAGCCGTTCTTTCTGTCTGTCTTTTGGGAGGATTGATATCGGATCTGGGGAAACTTTAAGCACAGTCTTTGCTACCAATGCCAAGATCAATCCTATTTTACTAGAGTGTTGCCTCAGCTTTACACATGCAATGGATGAGGCTCAGGTTTCTTTTAACAGATTGCCTCCCTATATTCATGAATTCTAGCCACAGCTCTCAGCCACACACTTGAATAATGAACCTCATTCAGGGTGTGCTGTTGCTGTCAGGCTTGGAGACCAAACCATTTCTTCAGGGAATAGGGTTAGGTGTATAAGAACTGCACAACTAATAACTCATACCAATTATGATTCATCTCTTAGACAGCTGTAAGAATTATTGATAGACCTCCTGAAAATCGGTTACCCAAGCTGTACCTCACACATGAACCGAACGCAGAAGAGATGGGAGTACTCACGAGTAATAATCCTATAACCAATATATAAAAACAAAATCCTAGACATGATGGGGTAAACCCCGGCTACAACACTGGCACTATGTTCCAAGTGCAAGTTTAAGGCATAACTAACCCATTTTTTCTTTTGAAGACTTATTTTGGAAGAGTTACAGAGATTGAGGGAAAGAGAGGAAAAGGGAAGGAGGGAGGAGGGAGAGACAGGGTGGCTGTAGGAATCTTCCATCTATGATTCCCACAGCCAGAAACCTAGAGCTTTATCTGGGTCTGCAGGGTGGTAGGGGCCAAACGCTTAAGCCATTTACGCTGCTTTTCTTAGGGATCAACAGGGATGTGGATCAGAAGTGGATCACTCAGGAAATGAACTGGTATCTATTTTGAATGCCAGCAACGCAGGCTTCAGCTTCACCAGTGCACCCAAACACCAGCACACATCTGTCCCACTATTGATGCAGCTCCACACTGCTGTGTCTGGGAAGGAAGTGAAAGATGAGGGTTCTTGGGACCCTGTCCCTCTCTTTGGGGACCAGAACGGAGTTCCTGACTCCTGGTTTAACCCTGATACAACACTGGCTGTGGAGAGCACATGGGGAATAGATCAACAAAATGGAATATCTCATGTTTCCCCCTCTCTGTTGCTCCACCTTCTAAATACTTCCTTTTTAAATCACACCAAAAGAAACTGTATGTTTCAGAGGCCACATTGCTTGCATATCTAACCTCTAAGTATGTTACATTTCAAAATAAACTACACAATATAATTTTTGGTGACATTTAAGAGCATGTTTTCTGTACAAATTCCAATTTCCAACTGCTCCATAATATCTAAATGTATCATTTGCTACAAATGGTTTTTGCTGTTATAATTCTGTTCACATTGCTTTTCTCTATTTGAAACAAATTTCTCTGAAGTCAGTTCCATAAATCATGATAGTCATGTTATCCCCCCCAAAAGTGAAAAAGCATGTGTGTTTGTAAAGATCATTCTAATATATTTAAAACTTAGATAACCAAATGTTCTTTGCTCAGAAATCTTATCTACTTGACCCCTGAAGGATTCAGTCTGCAACACTTGATTTTAATCCCCTCTAATTCTTCCTTTCAGACTACCTATTACTGCATGCTTTGTTTTGTTGGGGCTGGAGTAGAAGAGAGGCTTGCATACCCATAAGGAAGATAAAGAGGAAGACTAAATCTTTTATGTGTTCTCTAGCTGCCCAAGGCTGTAGTAGTTTGACAAATGTTAAATTGCAAATTTTTCTATAAGCAGGAGACCTGAGGAAACAGGAAAGGTGTTACCTTATGTGGGGAAAAGAAATTGCTGATCTCTTCAGCATTTTCATCAGGCTGTTTCTGCCAACACTGGCAAATATAAATAGAAGTAAAAGAACATCGTCAAAGTGTGGCCATTTGTACTACATAATAGAATGATGGTTTCCAGTCCCTTTTCCATTATAACTTACATTTCCGTTTGTTATAACACCTTCACATTTTTTTTTTTTTGGTCAAAAAGAATACCTGGGGAAATTAGCATAATAGTTGGGTTCTTGCCTAAAATTGCAATAGGTTAGTGCGTCACATTATGGGCTCTCAGAAATGAAAGCAAAGAAAAACCCATATGAAACCCTTAATAATGGAGAGGGGGCTGGCAATCAGACTCGAGGGGATCTAGAACTCAGGCCAACTAATAATTCCAAGGTCGGAAAAAAAAAAAAGATGAACCTAAAGAAAAAATCTGTTTTCCACTGCTGACTGTTCTGACTCTAGCTTTGATGAACAAAGGACTATTTTGCTTTAATCAGTGCCCAGGAAGCCCTGCCTTTGTTTCTGCTGCACAAATGGTAATCTTAAATATGCCTCAGCTCTGCTTTCTCTGGAGCAGAAATAAGTAGTCGCCCCAGTAGAAAGTGAGTCACGGGTGGCCAGGGTCCTTTCTTTAACTTTCTGGTCCTTGGATGCTGCATAAAGGTCTGTGATGGAAGAGGGATGATCAACAAGAATTCTGTTTGTACTTAAGTCCCTGAAGAATCACTAAGTGCCAGGGCATCAGTCTTGAATCTGTGTGGCAGAGCCACCAACGGGAGCTTGCTCTCCTCTGGGTCCTGGCATTGCACACTGTGGTCCACAAACTAAGAAAATCTGACATGAACATGAAGAATAGTGTCAAAGAACAAATAAACACCAGATAGTTGAAACAATGATAAAGTCGATGTGCTTTCTTTCAAGAAGGGTGGAACAGGAGTAACACAACATAAAAAGTTCAAATACGCTCCAGATAATGAGAAGCAAAATTTCATCATGAAGGCTAAGGAGAATTCTACTCCTGGAAATTTTTACTTAATAAGATTGCCAGAAATCTTCCCAATGTACTACGCTTACCTCCATTAAGATAATGGAAAATAGATGTACACAAACAGAGACACAGAATTTTTCAGCTACCAATTCATAATAAATTGAATATGAAGGGGGTTTTGTTTTTGTTTTTTACAACATTTTCTAGGCAGGATCAGGCAGAGATGAAAACAAATGTGCTGAAAGATAATATAGGTAAATTGGTAGGATGATATTAAATATGTTATAAAGAAAGAATCGAATGGCAAGAGAAAATGTGGGTGAAAAGAAAACAAGGCCCCTAAAATTTCAATAAGTGATTAAAAATCCACATTGGTCACAGCAAAAGAAACTGCCAATAGGTATCAAAAAATGAAATAGAAAACATTCTAGAGAAGTGTTTTGTTTTCAACACAGAAAGACTGAAAACCAAAAAAGGTGGAAAATAGAAATTCCAATGTGTGTATGCTAAATGTTTAACAATAGAATAAAAATTTCAGTGAACAACCTAAACAAAGTTTGTACATTATGTGATTTTGTAACCCAGAAAATAGTAATCAAAGCTACCTATGATTAAAAGAACCATAGCAATTCTTTTTAATTATAGGGATGAAGAAACCATCTTGAACTCCTGAGGAAATTAACTTAGATGCTCTAATATAACACTTCAAAAGCGAAGAATTGGGGGAAAAAGACAATGGACAACAGGCTAGTTCAAAAAGTGATTAATTTAAGATATTTACATTTAATCAAGCATTCTGCTCATGTAAAATTGAGAAATATTAAGCACAATTTCAAGTAGGCCATTTTTTTGCAATGAGTTCTTATACTAGGTTCCAACAGAGCAGAGCAAGCCAAAATAGTCTCTCTCATAGTAAACACCACGTGACCAAACCATATGGAGACAGACACATGCCACGACATAAGAAGTTTTAATGAATGCAGGAGATTTTAATCCACCTGATTTGAGGATGAGGAAGTCTCTTTTACCGTAACCTTTACAAAGAAGTAACCAGAAGCAATCTGATGGTAGCCAATCCATTTTTTTTAAACTTGTAATGAAAGATAGTTACAAGTTATAGGTCTACTAAGTTTGCTTCCCTTCTGAATTTGGATAGAATAAACCCAAAAATCATTTGTAATATCTAAGCTTTTAAAATAAATAACAGTCTGATATCATCATGAAAACACTACCCAAAATATATTCCAACCAAATTATAAATTAAGTAAGGTTTAAATTAAGTTATGGAATTAAAAATATTATATAATGAAGCCAGTGAAACATGGAATTAAATTTCAGTAGTCATTATAAATTTTATTTATAAAGCAGGTACATGTAAATTTGGTGAAAATATGTAATAGATCCTAACTTTATAGCAATAATCTAAGTCCAGTGCCCAAAAGGAAAAGAACAGTTTTTCAGTCATGATTTAATTAGCAGCAGCAACAAAAAGAAAAATGGCTCCAAAATTAAAAAGTAATTGGTATTTAATTGGTATGGTTTTGTGTTTTTTGCTTTCTTGAGATAACTTCGCCAAAAGTAGAACACGCAGCTGCATGGGTTGTTCACACTCAGACAGAGGACTGCAGGGTGTTAACAGTTAACAGGCAGAGCTGTAGCATGATACGGAGCTGCCATGCCCTGTCAGCCACAGCACATGATATTCTACTGCAAAACACATTTCACACATGAACATGAGCAAAGAAGATGAGACAATGCATTTGGTACAAGAGGCAAGATTGAAATTGTTGGCTCTGGTTTTTTTGCTGTTGAACCCGTTTGCCTGCTGGCTCCTGTTCCCTTGGGATGTCCTGCCTCCTCATCCCTGAAGGATTACTTTGAGTGCAGGCTCTGTTGACATCTTGTTAGTTCTGGGGGAATACACTTCTGAAGGGGAAAGACAAGGCAGGAAAGGCCCGTGGGCATCAGCAGGATGGGCCCAGGAAAAGCTGAATGTGCACAGTAATATTACCAACTAGGAACTCTTTCCCTGGTTAGAGTGCTTCTCAAAGCTGAGAGGGACACTGACAAGTCATTCTAGGAGAGCCTCGAGGTAAGCCACCTTTAAGTAATTGCAATCTGCTATCAAATGTTTGAACTTTATTCCACAAAGCCCACCCTAATTCTATTAACAAATCTGTCACTACAGACTTTGAAGTTCCTCCCCACTTCCCAAGTCTTTGTCAATGTTTTCCAAGTGTAATCCATTCTGTAGTTTTGAAGAAGAGCTCCCAGGAATGAGCACGTCTCCCCACAGACTCCTATGTACAATTGAGCAGGATTAGTAACTCTTTCTACACTGTAGGCATATTTAAACTTGACAGCGCCTTAGCATATATGCTGCCAGTCACCTCCTGGGGTGACAAAGCAAGGATGTTGGACTTGATGGAACTATATATAAGAAAGAATGCATTTATATACAATGAGAAAATATGAGCTCCAATGTGTTTGGAGGCCTCTTCCTGTGTGTATCTAGCAATATAACACATTTTTTTTTTGCCCATAACACAGGTGCCAAGTACCACAATCCTCACCTCAGAAGCTCACTAAAATGTGTAATTTTTTTCTTGTAATTGCTCATTCTCAGTTAATAAGAAACTACAGCTGCTTATTCTGTAAATTACTTTTTTCCCCAGTGGTAAACTCCAACTGCTTATTTTTTAGATTACTTTTTCCCCCAATGGACTATTTTTTGCCTTTCTTAAAAAATAATAAAAAGCCTTCCCTTCATATTGCAGACAGAGCTCGAGTGGAGAGTCCAGCATTTTCGACCTTAAGTGGCTGCCTTGCTGCTGAACAGGAAGAACTCATTCTCCTGCAGGAGAAAGTCAAGAATGGAAAAATGTCCATGGATGAAGCTCTGGAGAAGTTTAAACTCTGGCAGATGGGAAAGAGCGGCCTGGAAATGATTCAGCAGGTAATACTATTCCCAACCCCTGCTAGAATAATCCCTCAGTTGCAGATCTCCTAGATTTGCAAATGTTTAATCTGCCTAAGAAATATCAAGTGACTGTCCTTTTAAGTGAGCAATTAACATGTTCTATCCATAAAAACCTTATATGTAAGGCCAGCACTACATCACAGCAAATTAAACAGCTTCTTGTGACACTCATATCCCATGCTGGGTCAAGTTCTGGCTGTTCCACTTCCAATTCAACTTCCTTCCAGTACCCCTGAAAATGGTCCTGTTTGGAGCTCTGTCACCTGTGCTGCAGATCAGGATGAGGTTCCAGGGTCCTGCATTCAGACTGAGTCAGCCTCTACCATTATGGTAATTTGGGTAGTGAACTAGTGGATGGAAAATCTCTCATTCTACCTCTGTCACCATCACTCTACCTTCCCTATGTATAGATATTTTGTGTTTTTTTAGAATGTATACATATGTCCAAATAATCAGGTTTCCCTGCCATTCATGATTCAGTCTTGGTAACTATGTATTAAAGCTGATATCTAGCAGTGAGTGTCTTTTAAGACCTCATTATTGAACTTAAAGTGAAGCACCTAAGGTGCTCAGCACTGAGCTGTGTTACATAGACTAGGTTCACAGTAACAGGAGAGTGAAATCACATCAAGCAATAGTCAGAGTATGTGTGTTACACCTTCTTAAAAAGGAAAGTAAAGAAAGGTGTGAGTCTCTCACATGGTTTATACAGAAATGTCTAGAAAGTTATCTTCAAGTATGTCTGTCTTCTCTAAGTATGTTCTATATCCTTAGATGGGCTTCAAGGAGGTGGTTCTAAGACAATGAATATAAAATAGGCATATACGCATCCCTTGGCATTCGTCAGGAAGGCAGACTTGCACAATATTCTATCTCACAGGCCATCCTTCTCCCCAAATATACCAAATTTTTCCTCCTCAAAAAAAAAAAGCCTCACTGCTCCAAATCCCAGTTCTCAGGTTGTTTTTAAACACATTTAATAAGGTAATTTAAGCCAAAGTGTCAAGTTTAATGCTAGCTTAATATGCTAAATTTCCAAACAGATAATTTACTTAAAAATAATGCTATCAAAATATTTTTAGGCAACATAAATATGAATCACAATGGTGAAATTTCAGAGAGGCAGCATGTTAGCAAAGGGACTTTCCTAGTCCATCTGTGAGAGCATCTTGTGGTTGGTTCTGGTTCTGAACTAGTAACGAGAACTACTGCAGATCATGTGATGCTAAGAAAAGGCATTTTGTTCTGCCAAAAAAATGCTGAAACACACTGATCATAGTCTTGCAAACTGTTCATTGTTCTCAATCAAGATTATAACATTGTTTCTCAAACCCTGCCAATGTCAACAGCATCGCACACATTCTAACCACGAAATGGGGTAAAATGTACTTGAATGTAGGCATACAAATCACTTTCCTGAAATTGCTAAATAATACAGGCTTAGATGAAGGGATTCAATCAGACTTTCTCTGACTCAACGAACTTTGCAATTTAGAGTAATAGGACCTAAATCATTTCTGGAGATAATTTTACTGCTTATTTCATTAAACTCTTAATTGCTTCATTTTACACACTCACATTTAGTCATGTTTTAGGAAGAAACATGGTTGCCCCACACCACACGGAGGCCAATTCCTATTACTTAGGAACAGTGGGCAATGTATATTAGTAGGGTTTATATAAAAATAACTTTGTCTTTGAACTGCAAATACAGGCCAGGTAACATCAAGAATTCTTCCTATAAGAACCAAAAAGTTAGTGATCCTGGTTAGCATTAAAGTAATCAGTTCTTAACCCATGGGATTGAACAATAGGTCAAAAAAAAAAAAACATTCATTCTCCCCATTTCATCACACACATGCAGGCGTTCATGGGTTCTTCTGATATTCTTTTTGTAGTTTTCAAAAGTATCTCTCTGTAGCCTGAGAGTAAATCTATTAGGCATAATGATGAAGTTGTATGCTTTCATTTGAAACTCAGGAAGATAGACAACTTCTGTCCACCGGTTCTCTCCCAAGATGCTCACAACCCAGCCAGGCATGGGTCACGTGCAAGCCTGGAGCCCAGAACTCAATCCAAATCTCGCATGTAGGCGGCAGGAAACCAAGTATTTGAGTCATAACTGCTACGTCCCAGGATACGACTTACACAGGAAGCTGCACTGGAAGTAGAGCTGGAGCTCCAACCCAGGCACCCCAAACAGCATTCTAACTACTGCTTCCAATACTTGCCTCAATGTTTGGGAAACTACCCTGGAGAGCTAAGAGAAACGTGGAAAAGATACCGAGTTCATGGAAGAATGATAAAGACTTGTAGCATTCCTGGCTCTAAAGATGACAAGGGAGAGAAGGTGAAAATTTAAATTTTCACTCTCCTCCCCCGACAAGCTCACTCACAAGAGCACCTGAGGGATAACCCAGCTTCTTGAAGGAGAAAATCTGAGAGGCAGAGAAAACGGAACCAAAATACCCTGTCAATTAACCCCATAATGTTGTAAACAGTTGTTGATGATATGTTATGGCTTTTAATTGGTCGAAACGATATTCTGCCAGCTCTGCCTTTAGACCAGAGATGGTCTCCCCAAGAAACTCTTGAACTGATCTGGATGATAAGATCCTGGACTCTATGCATGGTACATGCTTGCAATGAAAGAAACAAGACTGAATTTGAACTGTAATACTGCAATAAGGTGGAGTAATCCACCGTGAGGTGAGGGCAGGGGGAGGGGTCGGGGGAACCTCAAAGCCTAAGAAACGATGTCATAAAATGAAATGCAATAAAATACAAAAAGTGATTTCCAGGGTAACTGATGGAAAAGAGCTGCTCTTTGATGGTTTTCAAAATTGGATTTTTTGTTTGTTTAATGTGAGACTGCTTTTGGTTGAAAAGATAATATATGCTCAGTGTAGAATATTTGGAAAACAAAGATCAAAAATGTGCTGAGAACAGGATATAATGGTGATTCATTTGGAACCAATGTCCAGTTTTTGGAACACCGAAAGGAATGTGTCCCAAAGAGGACTGAAATGGCTCTCACAGGAACAAATTAAAAAAGTGTAGCCTTTTGGATTTGGAGTTCCAATCAATCAATATAGACCCTGACAAGTATCAGGTTTGGGAAAACTTTTCCTAAAATAATTAGGTTTATGGTTCCAAAAGTGCCGTAATTCTAGCACTTTTGATTTGGGAACATTATTCAACATGTTTGTCCCCCTATTTCTCTATGAAAATGAAACAATCACAATTTAATAGCTTCAAGAATTTGTAAGGCTATAATACATGGAAAATATCAAAGATTGCAATTGGTTATAATAAGTAGCAAATTAATGCTAAGTTTTAATGTTTATATTCAAAGTAGTTGCTTTCCTCTTGACCCATGAAAAAGTTTAAATCTGAACCTCTGTACTCTGCTTGTTTCTTCAATAAGGAAAAACTACGCCAACTACGAGATTTAATTGTTGGGAAAAGGCCAGAAGATGAAAATACCTGTGGTGAGTATCAATTTTCCTGATGTTCAAAAAATGATAATGAAGTGGAAAATTCAGGATCTGTGGACTCAAACAGGCGTGAGTTCAAGTCTACGTCCCATCTCTTCTAGCGGCCTGTCCTAGGGAACAACCTATCCCTATTATTCAGATTACTCATCTACAAAACAAATTTTATATTCCTCTGGGAATTGTATGAGTATACAAAATATTTAAATGCTTTGATCTATAATTTGTCCTCAAATGGTTTCTTTCTCCTTTTATGATTTCTGTATAGTTATACATAGGGTAACTCTGCAGCAACTCTATTTTTTATGGGCCATTATATAGAGAATCAAATAGCTAAGAAACTTAACTTCTTTTAATAACATCAAATATCTTCAACATAGTCTGATCCCAGTTCTCCACAGGTGGTTCCTGTTAAATGGTAAATAGTAGATTAGCTTCCCTGGTGCCCATATGCCTCTTGGTAATGCAGATTCCTCAGGATAATAATTATCAGTTGCTCTGGGAAGAGGGTACTCAGTACAAAATATAAACATTATGAAGATGTTTAATCTGCTTCAGATATAAACAGCACATTCCAAAATCAAAAATAAATTACATTGTCACTCTTTTTCCCCAAGTCTACTACATCATGGATAATTAAAAATTAACAATCACTGCCAAAGCTGAAAAGCTCCCATGTCTTCCATTTTAAACATATTGCCCATACTTGAGCTGGTGCTCTGTCAAAATTCACTATACGAACATGTGTTTCTGTTCATCTTACTGAGCTGTCATCTAGTTTTCTATATAAAAAATTTTAAAGTCTCTTATAAATCATTTCATAAATAGAAAAATATTTCTAAAATTAAATCCATGCACCTAGAAGACACAAACATGTTGTATCAGAGATAAACCTTCACGTCCATGTTTATGGTAGGATTGTTCTCAATAGACAAAAACTATTGAATCAACAAAAGTGACCATCATCAGATCAATGAAGAAATGTGAAATATTTCTATATATACACAGTGGGATATTATTCAGCCATAAAAAGATGAAATTCAATCATATGCATCAAATGGCTTTACCTAGAGTATACCATGCTTAATGAAGTAAGTTGGACACAAAAAGGCAAACTGTATGTCCTATCATGTATGGGATGCATATTCAACAAGTTTTGTTTCAAACTAATTGTTTAGTGTTTTAGTTTTAATAATTCATGACAATTTGAAAATGTACTACATATGAATGAAGTTGAATATCTTTACATTTAGTCATTTAAAACCCTTGCCAATATTCCTGATGAATTATGGTCTTTCAAAATCTTATTTGTTGAGCTCTGTTAGTGGATAATTACCTTTTGACTATAATGTAAATTAAAGGCATATGACCTATTAAATAAAGGTCAAGAATTAAACATGTTTCATGAATGACTGCATGAAGAGAATGTGATATATGTACCAGGAATATTATTCAGCTAAGAAAACAAAAATGAAATCTTGTCTTTTGCACAAAATGGATGCAACTGGAAACAATTATGCTTAATGAAATAAGTTATTTCTCACGAGATAAATATCATATGTTTTGCCTGACCTGTGGTAACTAATAAACAGAGTACAAAAATGTCATCTGTATGAGGGTAGACACTTTGAGCTTTGCTTATTGCTTCCAGCCTTTATTTACACTCTTGAGGGATAGTAGCTTTTTGTTGTTCTTTCTACCCTTTTAAATCATTGCCTGTGATTGCAAAGCGAAATGAAAGTATGACAGTGTAAAAATCTATAGAAAGGAGGAGGGTAGATGGGCAGTGTGCACAGGAGGGAGGCCAACACAAGATGTACGACCAGGCTCCTAAATCTCTATTGTAAAATGTGTATAAATAAGTTGTAATTTTAAACTGTCATTTTAAAAATAAAAAAAAGATTAAAACTTGAGTACTTTATAAACTCATAAGTTGCACAAATAATTTTGGAAAGGAAACTTTAACATTAATAGCTAATACTTACTGAGCATGTGTTATACACTGGTATTTCTTATAACTGTATGTGGTAGGCATTATTCCCAGTTTATAAAAATAAGGAAATAGGCTCTGAAAAACTACCTCAAGAACACTAAGATTAGAAACTACCATCAGTTTGTATTTGAACTCAAAATCAGTGCTTTTAATCAATGGTGCCTTCATTAAGATCAGTCAGTTGTCTACTCAACCACAGTGGAATCAATAGTACCGATCTAGCTCGTCATTGCACAGAATGCTAATATTGGCAAAGCATAAAACGGTTGACATCAGGAAATAGTAATGGGTAAAATCTCTAATGCCAAAGACAATCAAAATCTATGACGTGGCTTTCATGACTTTTTATCTCTCTGCAAGCAGTATGCCTCTTGACTACAATCTGTTCAAAGTAAAAGTTTCACGGATCCACTGGTATGCGTGAAACCTGGTACCAGGAGGGGTTCGGAGGGAGAAGTCTGAGCAACAACTCTGACAGGACACGGATCCTTCAAATAAGCACAAGAAGCACGGAAGGACACAGCCCAGAAAAAAGTGCACCACTGGCATACATTTGGCATGGGTTGGGAGCAGACCAGGCTGAGTCAGTTCGCGTCCTCCACTGGCAAATCCGAACGCTAGAGCAGAGTGTGGGTCGAGCCAAGTTTGGTCGCGACAAAAGCAGGATACAACACAGATACCAGCATGAGGATACACAGGATACCAGGATGAGGCTGCCTATGCCAGATGAGACCGCAGCACCCAACCAACACATGTGAGAATCAGGAAGGGGGAGCAGAGCCGACAGGGGAATAAGGGGTGGTTCCCATGCTGGATAGCTACTCCCACTGGAGAGCATGAGCTGGGACCAGACTAGGTAGGGCTGCAGCACCTGTGCGCCTCATATGGACCAGATCAGGGAACAGCCAGGACAGGCAGACTATTCCTACTAGTGTTAACAAAACGGGAGGGGGTGAGAGCTGTCGGGGCTTAGCCGTAGCAGAAGCTGGCATTAGGGGCCATTACTGTCAAGTCCAACCACAGGGCCACCTGGAGAGCACAACCGAGATTGAGAGTGACCTGGGAAGGAAATAGTGGGGCTCCCCCCTCTTAGGTCAACACTCCCCTGGGAGGGCACAATAGCAACTAGGACAGGGGCTGGGTTGGCTAGACAGAGAGGCACTCAACAACATCTGTGAGGGCTGGACAGTTGAGCTGGTTGGATGGAACTAAGCTCCAATACCCTTCGACATTTATGAGAGCCCAATGGGATGTGAGGAAGACTGAACTAGGTTGCTACACATGCTGGCAAATCAGGGCAGGGGCGGGCCAGGTGGGGGTTATTGGGGATCACTCCCACTAGGCTGCAGCTCCCAGTGGTTGGTGTGTTGGCCGAGAACCAGCACGGACAACACCACCCATTGATTCCAATGGAAGTCGAGGCTCAAGACAGAACCAACTCAGCAATTGAAACCACCAGCTGAACAGAGACCAGAGAAGGTCTCCCCAAGAAGCCATTGAACTTATCTGGACAATAAGATGCTGGACTCTATGCTTGGCATATGCTTGCAATGAAGGAATCTCAACTAAACTTGAACTGTGGTTACGCAACAAGGTGGAGGAATCCACCATGAGGGAGGGTTAGGGGAGGGGTGGGGGGAATCCCAGTACCTATAAAACTGTGTTACATAATACAATGTATTGAATAATAATAATAAAACAACAAGGTAAAAATTTCCTATGGAAGAGAAGTGGAGACCTTGGTTCAGGGCACCTGAAAATGGCAGAATATGTGTGATGGATATTGAAGAAGTGGTGACTGCTTACAAAGTGACCTTAGCGGGTCTACAAAATTCTAGATTTGAGAGCTGAACCATATTGGTGCTAGTCAGGACCACTCAAAACATACAGAACTACAACCTCTAGGGTGCTGAAAGCAATCAGAGTTAGTTGAGTTGAACAGAGTTGGTGAAGACCATACTAGAGTTGGCTTTTTTAAATCTCCACATAACACATGACATCTGGGCTGTGACAACCAAGAAGTATACTGAATATGGATGTGGCTGAGAGGAACGTCTGGGTCATGGGCCATATGAGGCCAGTGAAATCATTTGTTTTATTCTGCCAAGGCAGCAGCAGGTGTGACTCAGAATTCAATAAATCATTATCAGGCTACTTTTTAAGTTGATGACTTAAATGGTGCCTGGCAGAAAAAGGTTTCCCATTGCAGTAACATCTACTCTCTACATGGACTCAAAGCCTAAAATCAAGTCACAATTAAATCCAGGTGGGGACGTTTATAAACTGGACCCCCACCCAAGGACCTTAGGAAACACTTTAGGTTTTCTATAGAATGCAGAAAAAAATCAAGAATTCCAAACTTATGTCAGTAATAACACTGCCTGTTCAAACAGGAGCCTATACTTAGAGGAGTATTACAGAATGTAGAACAACAGATAACCTATAATGTCCAAAAGTAAATTAAAAAAAATATTAAAATTACAGGATTTATAGTGAAGAAACAATCAACAAAAACTGAACCTGAGGTTTCCCTTACCAGATAACACTTTAAAACAGTCTTATAATCATTGAATTAATAATAAAATGTAGATCCAAGGAGGTAAAAGCAGGAAATATCAGCATGTATGAAAGAATCAAATGGAAATTATGTAAAATAGAGCTGTAATAAAAGTTTTCTTAAATGATTTTAGCAGGTTGGTTATCCCCAAATAAGAATGAACTTCAAGACAGATTAATATGATGTAGAAGAAGATAAAGATACTGAAAAATGAACACACCCTAGTGATACTTGGGACAATACAGCCTGCTCTGATGAACACGTGAATGCAGGCCTAGAACCAGCAAATGCTGCTGGATCATGGAAAAATGACATTTAAACTGATGATGCAACCATAAGGAAAGAAAAAGATATAAAACACAAAAAGGATGCAGCTGCAAAGGGTTATAGATTTACAGAATTTTATGTGGTAAAATGCTACTGTGTGGAATGTAAAGAATCTGATCTTCAGCAAGAGAAAAAGATAAAGCAGAAGTAGGAAGTCTCAAATGGGACCAAACATATATACTATTGTCACAGATCAGACACTGATAAATCAACAATAAATATTTCAGTCTCAAAGTGGCACAAAAAGCTTAAATTTGCAGGTATACCTAGGAAACTAACAAGAACAAAAAAATGAAGTATCAAATTATTTGATTTACACTAATGCATAAGAAAGGTGGTAAAGAGGAGAACAAAATGGATATGTGGAAACCAAGAAAACAGTGTTAAACTGTACCATATCAATAATTATGCTAAGTGTAAACAGAGTAAATGTTTCATTTAAAAGCACTTTCAGACAGCACATAGACTTTCTCCACAGTCATCCTGCTCTAAAGACACACATTTTAAATGTGACACATGAAAGTTGAAAGTAAAGGCTCCATTGGCAACATAAGCATCAGAGAGCTGGTATGGATTTGTTAATACAACACTTCCTCAGATGCTTTCAAACAAAGTATATTTCATGAGATAAAAGATGGTATTACTTAACAATTAAAGGGAAATTCACTAGGAAGATACAACAACCCTAAATACGAATGCATTTTATATTACATATAAACTTAACTTATGGATTTCACTAAATCTCAAATGAAAAATTCACAATAGAGATATTTTCACTTCCTGTTTAGTAACTGCTAGAAATAAATGAAAACATGGGAGACCTGAACTACACTTTCCCAACTTAATCTGCTTTACATTTACAGAACATCAAAATATGAATACATGTTTGTTGAATATGTGCATTGACCTTTAGAAGTTAATATTTCATATATTCATAAGTAGGAGACAGAAGCAAAACAGAATATAAATAGAAATAAATCAAACTAGCATTATTATAAATAAATGCATTACTACAGTGATAGGAGATAGGAAAAAATAATGTTAATTTTAAAAAACCTTATATTCTAAGACTTCAAAAAGTGGACAATAACTAACTTAAATTAGTAGAATTTGTTCTACCTAAAAGCACAGATTGGCAGTTTTAAAACCAATTTATGACTATTCTAGGATTGAGTTACTAAATAAATATACTGTAAATAAGAGCCAGTTATCTGATTGTCACAGAAAGGCATTATAAGTGAAGAAAGAAGACCAACAGGATTCTTGTGATATTGCACCGGTATTGGAGGGAGAAGCTTAATGAATTGTGACTGGTAAAATATATATTAGATATAAAAATACAAGTCGAATTGTATACTGTAAGTCCATATATATTCTTCAGCTTTATCTTCTGAGAGGACCTAGCTCCAATGAGAGCACAGAACCCATGAGCAAACCTAGCAGCCAAATCTTAAAGCAAATGATCAACAGGCATATGAAAATGGTAAACAATAGTAGTCACCAGGAAAGGGTAAATTAAATAACTATGTGATAATAATACATAAGTTCAATGAATAAGATCTAAATACTGTCCAATCTAAGCATTGGCTAAATATGTATGGGGGATAAATCAGTGTGAATACTATAAAAATCAAATATAGACTTACCATCTGGCTTGGACATACCATTCCTAAGTATTTCAGACTTAAAGAAAGCATATACCCACCCAAAGTTTTGTTCAGAAAAGATCATAGAATCCCATTCAACATAGCCAGACTGGAAGCAATGCAAGTTGCAGAGAGAAAATTACCTTACTCATACTGTGGTATATTTACACTATGGAATGCTACTCCAAGATAAAAGTAATACCTCCACTTAAACACTACAATATAAATGAGTGTCATGATACTAGACACAAAGAAGGTCACTGTAGGAGTCCTCATGAATGTGAGATTCTAGATACAAAGGATCTGTAGAAATAGAAAACAGATCAAGGTTTGCCGAGATATGACATAAAACAACTTGTGAGAGTAATTTGTGGTGGTGATACAGCCTCCGTCCTAACCAGATTGGTGGGCACCTGGTTTTGTGTTTTTGTCAAAAGTCATCCACTTTTACTCCTATGAACATTCACAATATGCTGTATGTGGCCTGCATTACAATAGCTTTGCTACCATCTGTGGTGTTAGTATCTCATGAGCAGAGCTTTGAATCTCAGCTGCTCTACTCTCAATCCAACTCCCTGCCAGTTTACCTACGAAGTAGACAAAGATGCGGTAAATAGTTGGACCCACCCACCTAGGGGCCCTGGAAGAAGTTCCAGGCACCTGACTTTGGTCTGTTCTAGCCCAGACCACTGATCCAGCTATGGAAGATGTGATATTCTTGATGTCATTTTTTTAAATTTCCTAAATATATTAATTTTATTATAAAGAAAATATACATTATATATTTCAAAGATACACATTGAATTGGATAGTTCAGTCTTAAAAATATCCAGAAAGGGTAGCAAATATGTTATTGTATGTATGTATATTAAGTATGTTATTTTATTAAATAATCTGTTATTATGCATTAAACATTCTGTTACTAAGCATTCTTAAAATTACATTATATTAGAACAAAGATTGGAAGGGAAAAAAGTAAAATATATGGTTTTCTGTTTAGTGGCTGGGTAGATAAAAACCAAAAATACTGTGATTCTATTTATTCGTTTTTTAGATCACAATGTAAGATTTCATAGTCTCCTGAAAAAGTAGTAAATAATTAAAAACAAGAGTCTAAAGTAAATATTGAACAAAACAATCTTTTTGTCTTCTAGATAAGCTCAACATTGTACACCATCCAAGTGGTAAGTGCCTGTTAGTTATTGAAGCATATTAAAATAAAAACATTGCACCTGGTAAACCATTTTTAGTAACTACAATTAGGTCAATAAAACATTCCTATAGGTTTTATGTATTTACATGCTAAGCCACCTAACACCCAAAATAATGCCAGGTAATTCTACAATAGCAACACTAGAATTACCACAAGATAGAAATGGGAGCATGTGTTTTCAACTCTGATGGACCTGGCTTTTAATAGCTTACCAGTTGATACTCTTAGTACACTACTTAAGCTCTCTAGGCCTCAATTTTATCATATGCAAATTATATGTAAGAATTGTATCATGGGGAATAGCCATATAGAGTGGTCTTTTATATTACTGGTGGCTTATGCTTGATACATGAGGATTACTGGTAAAACAAATGGAATTTGAGTAAAAGATGAAAGTGCAATTCACTTCGACATGATGGGGAGAGAATGTGTGCTGAATTTTGGAGAAAGAGAAGCTGTTGAGTAATCTAGACGCACCCATTTCTAGTGTGGACCAAAGCCCTTTATGTGGAAAGAGAAAAGCAGTAGAATGAACAAGTGACTGGAATGGAAAATGGGAATCCTGTGGGAAAAGTCAGAGAAACCATTACAGAAGCCAAGTAGAAAGAACAAGAAAACTGTGCTTTGCAACTGGCCCATCCTAGTGGATGTGGAGGAGAAAAAGGCGCAACCCAGTGAACGTGTTACCTTCAGGGGAATAGATGATTGCCTCTAACTAAAATGATTCTTCAATATCCTACCTAATTCAATCAAGTCTAGAAGAAATTAAAGTGTATTTACTGAGGGTACCTTTTCAACATGTCCTTTTAAGCACTTTCCTAAGTTTGCTCTTTGTTTATATCATTTTTGAAAGTGCTGAATTACCAAATGCAAAAATGACTGAAAGTTGTGACAGAGCTTGTATTCCTAGGCAATGAAGTTCTCCACAATGAAAAATTGCTATATAGCATACCCTTCAGCAATAAGGTGAGTCATGATCATATTTTTAATTTTTATAAAATGTGGAGCAGGAACTCCTTTGATGAGGAAAAACATTGAAACATTTTGAAATGTTTTGAAACACAAATATGGATAATTTGCATATATCTGTGTGAAAAACTGATGAGCAGTACTTTGATGAAATTGAGAAAGAGAAGGAGCTCAAAAAATAAAAGTCCCCAATGCTAAAATACAGCTGAATTCAAAAGGTGCAGACCACAGAGCTCTTAGAGGATTTACAAATTCATCTATATCTGCTTCAACAGCAGAAATACAATTAATCCTTTATCATATGTATGCAGTACTTAAAGCCTATTATAGATTCGAAATATTGTTGATAAAAGTACACACTACTTCATATCAAAGAGTTAATAGAAAATAACTAGTGAAATGCTAAAAACAATACTTTATAAAGGATTGCAGCAATTGAAAATCGAAACCACCAATTCAATACTCAGCAATGTCCTGACCACAATTTTGTTTCATAAAAAAATCATACTATCCCAACTATTTGTGATATAGGAATTTTTTACTGTTAGCAAAGGTTCTTTGACAGATTAATTTTTTAAATAGAGATTAGAATACTTGGTAAGTTTTCATGATTAACCAATTCTAAATTTTGCTAACACTTGGCTCTCATGATTCACATAAATAATAAAATCACACATATTAACTTAGCTTAAAAACTTACTGAATTATTTGCATTTCTAGGTCATTCTGTGGTTCACCAGTTATAGTGCCATATGCAAGGTAGAAGCATTGTGGTGCAGTGGGTTGGGCTACCACTTGTGATGCCAGCATCTCAATTTGGAGTGCCAGTTGCAGGCCTGGCTGCTCCGCCTATAATCCCTGTGGTGTGTAGGACTCAGGTGCATGGGTTCCTGTCACTCACATGGAAGACAAAGAGCTCCAGGTTCCTGGATTTGACCTTACCCAACCTCAAACTTAGTAATCGTACAGGAAATACACTAGCCTTTGATAGATCTCTCTCTCTCTCTGTCACTCTCTCATCTAAATAAGTAAACTTTTATAGAAAATGAAATTCATAGAAATACGGAATTAAAACTTTATTTTGATGCAGGAAAGTTTTTAAATGCATGTGTAGTTTGCATTTTTCATAAACATTTTCATGAGCTCATAAATAGATTCTAATATAGCAGGATTTTAGGTGTGCACCAACATCTAGGGCTTATGAAATATGTTTGTTAAGTGAAATTGTTAGGGTTTGGTTTTGCCAACCCTTCAGAAATGACAGAGTCTCGCTGGTAATGCAAATCAGGCAGAGTTTATTGTGATAGCATGCTGGAATCAGACCATCTTAGGGCACACAGGCAAGCCAAGCAGATGTCAGACACTGAACCAGCAAAAGGCTAGAGATTATATAGGCCCCTTTTTGGCTGTAACATACATTAAAGTTAATTCAAAAAGTAACAAACTTCAGACATGTCAATTTTTACTCCGTCCCCACACTCATTATCTTTTATGGCTCATCCCATTCTCACACCCTTATCTCTGTGGCTCCTCCAGTTCCTAGGACCGGAGAATTGCACACCTGCCCTCCTGAACCTGAGTTAGTTGATAGATAAGGTTGGTGACACTGTTCACAAGGTTGCGGAGGAACAAAGAACAGATTTATCACTGAAGCGGAATTTTCCCACAGCCCAGGTGCCTCCTGACCTGGCAAAGTAGTGGTTTCTCGGCACAAAGGGGCCTAACAATGCCTAACACTAATATTCTAGCATTCTAACATACTAACATTATACCAACATTCTAACAAATCAGGACTACACCACCATAGTATATTTTCTTAAGAAAAAGATATTGGGGTAAGAACACAAGTTCCCAATGCTTAGACGATTCTTCCTTAAAATAAGAATAAAATTTGAATTCAAATACTTTGATGTAGTTCATTGAACTTTACAATTATCCAGTTTCCTTTTAAGCTGGAGCCTGTCCTATCCACTTGCCTCTAAAAAGCCATTTGCCCTCTAGATCCTCCCGTGGCTATGGAAGGCAGCTGGCATTATGATGCATTTCTTTGTTCAACCTTAACAGAGAAAGCATGCTAACTCTGTATCTGTCACTTTATTTTTGTTTCCTTCCTAGCTTCCTGCTCGACTTCATGTTGAAAAGGAATTTGGTTTCTGTTGCAGAAAAGATCATTAGAAAGGTAAAACATCAGCTCTGTGTGTGTATAAAACATATGTATATATGTGTGTATGTATATATGTGTATATATGTATATACACACATATAAAAATGTAAAGCAGTCTTGTTAGATCCTTGAAGGAATCATTTTTCTAAAAAACAAAACTGATTACTTAATTGTCTTATTTTCAAAGGATAAGCATGTATGTTTTTTAAACTAAAGGTGATTGATCTTAAAGATTTATGGATGCAGTGATTCTGTGCCAGCTAATGAATTCCAGTTGATGAGTCATTTACAATACACTTCCTGTGATCTCATTTTCAGGTTATTATAATGAAACAATCAGCAGATACTGTGCCTTCTGCATGAAGCAAGTTTACATTCGGATGCTGTGCTCTCTCCAGGGCAAATCTGTACTATAAAAACAGAAGTGAGACTGTGAAGTTCAGAATTTGGCACAGTCACAAGTTATTAGCATTGTTCCTGTTCCAGATGGGTTTATAAATGTCAAAATAGAATGCCAAAGGAGCAGTTGTGTTATTTGAAAATACTTGCATTTGTAATGCACTTTGTCAAAATGGAAACTGGCTGCCTCAGTGACAAAGGAAGATGAAAGTACAGAAGTTCAATGTTGTGTGACCAAATTATTTGGGGCCATTAGAGGCACTAACCTTACTGGATTACTCCGTATTAATAACAGCCAATATGTAAATACAAATTCATTTAGCATATATTTTACTTTTAAGTGATTGATCAGTTTTTTAGGTTTCTCACATTCAAAGCTCTATTTTTTGTTATATTTGAAAAACAGTGCCTGACTCACATCAATTAAAACACTTCATTACATTTTCCCATCATTATAGAGCTCTACATGCATATTCTATATTGAAAACTTAATTTTGTCAGCTAATTTTTAGAAATAACTTACCAGCTTGGACTAGAATGCTGTTTCATCATTCCATGATTGTATGTACAAATACTACAAATAAATTGAATATTTAAAACGGTGTCTTTTCAAAATAAATGCATGGAAATTAAACCACCACATTTTTATGCTTACCAGTAAAAAGAGGGATTTATTTACCATTTTACAGAAAGGAATTTCATTGTATATAACTAAAGTAACAGAAATATTTTCATTTTCTAGCTTCTAAACACTGGCAAGAATGTCAACGGATATTAAAAAACACTCTAAAACGCTTCTCATAGGATTTTATAGCCATTAACATTCTCAAATATGATCATTTTAAAATCATAATTTGATTAGTTTGTGACAGAATATGCTTCTGATTTTGACATTCGCAAATTTATTGCATAGTTTTGCACCCACACACAGAGTTGTCATTTCTGTGGGCTGTCCCATCCAGATAGAAAAGGAGAAAGTTGTTTTTTCTAGAACTTTCTAGATCTACAAACCTCAAATGAGTTTATCATCACTAAAGGAAGAATTTCCAACTACAATTTTGCAATTGTCTTTATTTCTACCAAGATCCAGTGAAGTAAGTGTTTCTAACACAAATAAATCCAAACCCCAGACTGGATTTAAAGTAAAAGTGGGCCTGAGTATTGTGTCTTTGATAGAGGTAGAGATCAAATATCAAGACTGGTGACTATCATGCCTGAGGATTAGGCCTAGATGAAGGACAAAGCCAGAAGCCTCTTCAATCACCTTTTTCCTGGCCCTTGAAATCTTACTACATTGTCATCACACAGAAAAGCGAAACAAAAAATGTAAACATAACTGACAACTCTAGCTTCTTTGCCCTGACTCCTGTCCTTGACTGATTAGGCTTTGCCAGAGCCAGGAAGAGGACTAGACAATGTTGGAGGAACAGCGTCAGAGGAGTCCTCATCCTGCCTGTTGCGTGAAGGATGGGAGGAGGGAGATAAAGGAATACAAAGAGATTACAGTAAACCAAACTTAGAAATGATCCTACCTGAATCTGCTCCATGGGGAGGTAATACTTTTAGTCTCTAGACGAAGCCCAGAAAGCCAGTTGAAGATCAAACATACATTTCATTATCCATTAAATTTGGCCACCGAAGTAATGCCTTTTCTTAGTGGTAGAAGACAACAGGAAACAGGAGCAAAGTTAATGGAATGGAAAGATCTCATGTTTCCATGGAGATTTGAACATTTTATAGGAGCTCCTACCATGACCCTGAAAGGAAAGCCATCACCTGAAAATGGGAAGGCCTGCGAGGAATATCTGAAGACCTTGAACTGCTGATTTTTCCTGTCACCCCTCTACAAGTATCACGTTTATTCCCAAGTCACTGCTCCTTGGTTTAGTCAAAACTCTTCCCTTGAATTTACCAGTACTGTGACTTTAGAGATTTTTGAACTGGTATTGAACTGCATTATAAATGTTACATCTTAAATACTAAATCCCTTATTTTCTACCTAGAGAATCCACTATGATAAATAGGAAGAAAATATGTGAGTTTTTAACTGGGACATTCTTCTTCCCCCTCCTCCCTGGAAATTTGACATCTGAAATTATTTTGGACTGCCTTTCCCGGGCACATGGTCCCGAAACAGTATATACTATGAAGGATACTGATAAACATCTTGCAATACCTAAGACAAGGAAGTGTCAGAAGTATCCGATCCATAATGCTAGCATCCAAGATTGAGAACTCTGGACTAAACTATAAAGCAATCCAAGATTAATGGTTTGAGGTTGCTCAAATTAAAAATTAAGCTTTGTGATTTTGGAAAGTGGAAACACTTTTGTTTAAAGTCCATAAGTCTTTAAATAGTCCATGAAAAACTCAGAAGAATTCAGGCATCTAAAATGTTTTCAAAATCAACAGTAACAGTCCTATCACAGAAACTAATTTTTAAGACATTAACTTTTAGAAAATGAAACTGCTTTCTAATGAGAATGACCTTTCAACTTGAGTCATTATTGCATCCTATTTGTGTGCTAAGTATTAGCTCATTCGACTTCCTTCTTGTTTGCTATAATCCTCGAGGGAGCTCATTTTAGTAACTTTGACTTAATTTTCTTTTTACATTAATTTTCAACTCATTTTTCTAAATGGGTAAATATTTAGGAAAGAGTTCTTTGTTGTGAGACTAACCTAGTGTGCCTGAGCAGGTTGGCACAGTGGTGGTAAGCAGACCTTACTTTTAGATCTTGCTGTCTATAACTGCTAGCTATACCTGAAAGTCTGATACCACATAAAAGACAGCAAAAGGCAAAACTGTAAAAAACTATTCTCAAAATTTAAGGTGATGGTGTATAATTTGCTCAATAACCTCATCCTCAAGAGGCAGATGCTAGTACTGGGGTTGTTGACTGACACCATACACTAGGAAATGACCAGTGCAGCTTTGAAGCAAGAGTGACTCAACATTTTTGAACTTGAGTCAGCTATATCCAATCTGTATGAGCCAGTTATTTCCATCTCCCTCACCCCTGTGACAACTTCGGTAAAATGTGAATAAAAATGTTAACATTAAGGAGTGAATATTGCGATGTAGCAAATTGCCCATTTGAGGCAAAAACATTGAAGTGCTGACAGAAGCCCCTTCTCTGCTGCTAAACCAATTTCCAGTTTATATACACCCTGGAAGGAAACAGGTGGTGCCTCAAAGTACTTGGCCCTTTCTACCCATGCAGAAGAACAAGAATCTGCATGCCTTAGTGTGAGCTGTTATGAGTGAACCAGCTGACAGACCTTTCTAATTTGCCTTAAAAACAGATGAAAATAAAAAATATTAATGTTAGTTCAGAAATAAAACACAAAGCACTAGTTTATCAACCATAAAGGGCTTTTGAATAGTGATATGGATTATTTGTAGTAGTTCATATTAAAAACAGGTATAAACTGGAATGTATAATCCTATTTGCCACTGATTCCTTAGAACATTTTAGTTCACAATGAATAGTCAATGCAGGCTATTTGCAAAGAAATAATTTTGTTTTAATTGGGAATACTGGTGGAATATTTGGCTGACTTGTCACCTGGCTGGCTTCTACATACAGCCTTGCAGCAGGTGGTTCCAAAATAAACTGACTACAAGACTTTGGATAGCCACCTAGATCATTTATGAATATAAGAATACAGAATCCAAGTGGAAACCCCAAATGGAAAGATTCTACAATTGTGGTTTCTCAAGTTATATTTCAAAGAACTTGTGGAAGGCATTACCCTAAAATGAGATACATCGACTGACAGAATCTGGAAAGTGCATGTGTTTTATTCCATTTTAATAGAACATTATAAATAAATGTAGTATCAGCTATTAATACTTACATAGTACAGGAAACACTGGCTTATACTTGCTAAATATGTATGTTGGCCACATTCACTATGGATTGAGAAAAGATTGCCTCAAGTCATGTGTTAAGATGGAATCCAAAACCTGCTTAATAGGAAGCTGTAGCACAATCAACCATTGATGTTTTCCTTAGACAATATGAGACTTTTTTGGTACCTGGGACTTGCATAGTGAAGCATAAAAATAAGACCTTGAATTATGAGTTTGCAAAAAATAAAATTGTTTCATTCAAAAAAATCAGTGACCTATCACTTGTCCTCAAATGAATTATGAAATAAGTGTTTAGGAAAAAAATACTTTAATTTCCATTTATTCTTACTGAACATTCTTACTAGGTCTTCAGATAAACATTCACCTTGGTTTCTATTGAGAACTGCTCTATCATCACTCAGGGATGTGCCATGCTGTGTAAAACAGTGACGCAGTTTCTGAACCAATGGAATCCAGTGGGATGATTTTCGTGTTGCCATTTTGCTTTCTATACAAAACATGCCTCCCAAGGACTCAGAGGTAGAGGCATTCTCTTTAGGAAATTAACCAACAGTTTTGATTCTCTCTTTCCCATGGTGAGGATGGACAGGTTATATCATTCATGATAAAGGTGATAACGATTTTGCCCTGAGTACTTTCACTTTGTTCAAGCAAAAGAGACCAAGGGATTCACAAAAGTGTGGAGTGACATTCTGGCTTTTACGCCTTGGCATTAGAGGAAAGAGATGCAGTCATGCTTCCAAGCCCTGAGTTACCTGTCATGGGACTGGCATTTCTCATCCTGGAACAGAGTTGTTCCATACTTGGGACAGATCCACCGATTCCCAGACCCCTCACAAATCTTCCCATCGGCTAATGTGGGCAACGCTAGCAGATGATCTGCCATCAACAGGGACTGGAAAGGTGTAAGACCTTCACTTGGGATCTCCACCTGTTTTTTTCAGGCTTCCATAAACTGTGATTGTTTGTGACATTCATATTCCCTGTATTTGGGTATTGGCTACATACACTCTTCCCCAGTTTAACATAAAGAGCAATGACAAAAAATGGCAAAACAACTCATCCAAGGCCATTAAAACTTTGGTTCATATTTTTAAAAAATATACTGTGCTTTATGCTTTCTGGGTTTCCTGAACAATGAGCTATTTTTCCAGTCAGAAAACCAGTGTTCATGGAGGTTCTGCTCATATGTCAACTTCTGAAATGGAAATAAAAGGCCATTCTACTTCAAGATGGGAGAGAAAACTTATTTGGGACCAGGAGAAATAATAGAGGTAGTACTATATAACCTGGAAAAAAATTTTTTAAATCCATAGCTTGTTTTGTTCTTAGGACTACTGCTGCTACTTCTATTATTTATTATAAACAAATATGTTTATCAATACCAACTGTGTATGTATAATACAGTTCCCCAATCAATAGGAAGACCATTCTTCCACATGTTACAGCAGCTATACTCATTAGGCTGCTATACATGTCAGCAGGCAACACATTCCTTTCAGGAGCATGTTATTCACCTTTTTTTTATTTCATTTTATTTATTTTTTTATTACACTGCATTATGTGACAGTTTTCTAGGCACTGGGATTCCCATTCGCCTGTTCTTAATATTTATTTGGGGAGCACCTGCCAAAAGCAAAAGCAAGCAGCACCAACAAACTGTCAAACAGTATGCAGAGTGAGGATACAGATCAAAAAGGCCTAGAATCAAACCTGAACTTTGAAAACTTGACCAAAATTTTATATCAGAAAAATGTTACAGGCAGCAAGAATATTGAATGCCAAAGCCCTGTGGAAGAAGGAAATCTTTCTTTTGTTTCATCTTCTCCAGGCCAGGGTTGGCCCTCTTTGATATCATGATAGAAGACAGCAAATGTCACAGTAAAGTTACCTGCCCTCCCACAACTGACATTCTGGCATATACTTGGGAAAAAGAGATAATAAACAATGAAAATAATGGAAGCTATCAGAACATATTAGACCCAATTCAAACTAGTAAAGTACAGGGATATGAGACAGGGTGTGGGGCTGCTTCACTTTGGGTGGTGACAGAAGACTTCAGAAGAGACTTCTAAGACAAGAGTGACCCAGCAATACAAATTGGAATGAAAATAGCAGTGAAGGTAGAACTTATACCCAGTGCAAAGACCCCAGAGTGAGAAATGAGGGGACTTATTTCATTGATAGTTTTTTACCTCAAAAATTATTTTGAGTTTCTAAATTCTGGTATCTCAGATTGTGACTTTTAGAGTTAGAGACTTCTAAGAGTCAGATCAAAACAGCATCATTTACGTGAAATTTAATCAAATACGCCTGGTGTGTTTATACAGGAAAGGGAATTTGGACACAGCCACTTGAAGAGGCGGGATAAATGAAGTCACTGGTTAGTTATGGCCATTTAAAATCCAAGAGGAAAAACTTTACTCAAGGACATCACAGGATATCACCCTGCTGGTGCTTTGACTATTCCCACCCTGGAACTCCAAGGACATGGATTTCTGTCCTATAAGCCACTCAGCTTACATTATGCTGTTATTGTTGTGACTACCCCAGTGAATAAACCGCAGTCCAAGTGACAGAATGATGGGAATGGGATAAAAGAAATGAAATGATCTTGAAGTGATAAGGAGGAACATGGGGGATTTTATTCCACGTAGATTTTATTTAAGCCACTGCCAGGTTTTAAGTCAAAAATGCATTCTGACTGCAGAATGGGATATGTAATACATGTTTAAGAGACAAACAGGACTTGTTGATGTGGCTGATGACACCTGGGAAAAAAATACAGGTAATGCATTTCCTGATTTGATTGGTTTGGTGGATTATGTTCTCAATAAAGTGGAGACGACATCTAGCTAATTTGAATATCACAAAACCCAATAAAACTTTATTACCCATTTTCTCATGGCTTAACAGCTTCTCATTGTACAGTTGTGAATCTGAGAAGTAATGGTATGAAAATACTTGAGAAATGGTTAATGCTCAATAGACACTGAATTATTATAACTATCACCAACATTAGTTCTCACTTTGGAATATTCTCCAAAAAGCTTACTTCTATGTCAACAGAAATTATACAACCGAGAAGCTAATATTTCTCCTTGTACTAAATACAAAAGTAAATTTTTAATTAAAAAGTTTGGATATATGTCAAGCGTCTTGTTAATGCACAGAAATATGTATCGATTCTGCCAAAATGCTATTTATGCAGTTTGTTATGAATATAGAACTGTATGACTTATTTGGTTGTTTTTTACCTTCCTAAAAAGAGGAGGTTAACAAGGATCTTCAAAACAGTCTTCTGAAGGTAGCTCCAGCATCCATTTTCATGCCTTTGTTTTTTATGCCCCTTGGATTAAAGGAAGTTACTGGCCAGAGCATATGCTTCTCTGCCTCCTCCAGGAACCCCATGGAGGTAGGGATAAGATGTGACATACATTCCACCAATAATAATTTCATGAAAGATATGGAAGCTGGGAGGGAGTAGGGGAGAGTGAACCTCCTCTCTACTACTGCAGCACCTGGTTATGTCAGATCATTTGAGTATGCATAGCCAACACAATCTACAACAAGCATCTGGTCCCTAACTTTATGTGTATGGGTTATTGTGTTTGGCATAATCACTCCCCAATCTCTAGGTCTTAGCTACCCAAGTTTTTAACCTGAGCTAACTCTTAAAATTTCTAAAAAGATTTCAATGACACTTACCTCCCTGTACCATGCCTTTTTGATTAAAAATTTAGAGTCATTTAGTTCCCAAATGAAATTCTAACTGGTATACCTATTGATAAGCAAGATTCTAAATTTAACTCAGACTTTTACTTAACGAAAATATTTCTTGGGGCACAGTGACTAAAATCCTCTCCTTGTACATAGTAGGATCCCAAATGGGTGCTCGTTCATGTCCTGGCAGCTGCATTTCCTATCCAGCTCCCTGTTTGTAGCCTGGAAAGCAGTAAAGGATGGCCCAAAGGCTTGAAACCCTGCACCAATGTGGGAGACCCAGAAGAAACGTCTAGGCTCCTATCTTCAGAGTGGCTCCGAATGGCTGAGCTCTGGCCATTGCGGTGACTTGGGGAATGAATGAGTCAGCAGACAGAAGATCCTCCTCTGTCTTACTTTCTCTCTGTGAATCTGCCTTTCCAATAAAAATAAATCTTAAAATGTTGCTAGAGAAAATTCTGATAACTCACTTTGCTACTCAATTCTCACTCCCAGAACTCTAGTAAGAATAAATGTTGTGGACAGAACTGTATTGTAGCATGGATAAAGCACTGCCTGTTGTGCTGGTTTCCCATATGTGTACCAGTTTGAGTCTTAACCATTCTACTTCAAAACCAGCTCCCTGCTTATGGCCTGGGAAAGCAGTGGAGGCTGGCCTGCACACACAAGGGATACCGCGAAGCTCCAGGTGTTGCATTAACCTAGTTCTAGCCATTGCAGGCATTTGTAAAGTAAACCACGTAATTAAAGACCTTTGTCTCACCTCCTCTTTGTGTAAAATCTGCCTTTCAAATGAAAATAGATTAAAAATAAAAGTTGTTGATCCATCTTTTACATTATTTGATCCATGAAATAACATTACTTCTGGCATAAATCCACCATTGGAATAAATCCCAAGTTTTCAGATTATTCAGGTGCTTATAATTGAAACCCTCTTTAACGTAATATTATAAAGCCTATAACACTTTAAAGCTTAAACAAGAGGTTTAAAGCCCTCTTTTCTTGCAGGTATATCTAAAACTTCATTAACACACTGGTAAAATTCAGACTTGATTTTAGTTATTTCTCAAAAATATTTAGTTAAATGACCATAATCTCTTATCAAAACCTAAACATAGCAAATTACAAAATCGGTAAGTATTTCACTTTCGCATGTAATCAAGGCATTACTATTAAATTATTCATTGCTTAGTTCTTTTGGTTTTATTCCTGACACAAAAATTATGGATTGTGTTAAGTCTAGTTGTTTCCTCCTTAAGGCATGTTCAACCCCTCATCATTAACTTTATAGGCTGACTTGAG